TAATATTCAGCCCATTAGTTACAAACTAAACCTCCCTATAACTTAGAAGGTGCACATCATGTACATGCTATTAATTAACTAAATATAATTTAAGGTGAATTATAAAAGAAAGGAAAAAACTGAATACTATAAGGAACCAGAGGTGATCCTTTATCCATGTCTCACATGGACAAATCCAAATTTCTACTTTTGGCAAAAAGTAGAATTTTAGTATTCCTCTTTCAAGTTATTTCTGGTTGATTTCATGCATTACATGGCCACCGCAGAATGTTTTCAAAAAAGATTCACAGAACAATCCTGTCATTTGATCTCAACAAATTGTTCAGGTTTACCTTGCTATTTGTTAACAAGTGTCTTTGGCAGATGGGGTGTACTTTCCTTCCCAGACATCTTCTTTTTTCTTATGTACCATTTATTTTCTGCATAATTAGTAGGGCAATTGATGTTTCATTGTGAGGTGTAACTTGTTCTGATCTAGTACTAATATGCTTTGTGATGTTTAGTTATTGTCAAGAGAAGCAATGGTAGATACAAACTTACCCTGTTACCAAAGTTGTCATTCCAGATTACTAATACATACTTTTCATCCTCAGATTACTAATACAATTTAAGGGCTGCTCTATTTTTCTTTGTGTTCTATGCAGGAAGGTGCTTGCCTGTGTGTGTCTGCGGTTCGTCTAAAAAAGTGCATTTCATAATAGGCTTCTTTAGAAGTGGAATGTGGGCTGATGTTCAATATGTAGCTCATCAGGTTATTTTTCTTGTTCGACTTGCATTTTTTTTTCAAGGAACTTGTTTGTCACTATAACTTTTAAATTTGCCAGAACTGGAACATTTCAATTGTCGGACATTAGATGTAGTAATTTTTAAGTATTCAGAGGTCAGACATTGCATCCTGAGATACCAAAAGAAGTTTTTTCTTCTCTTTCATGCTCTTCTTGGGAGTGGATATGTTGCGCTGGATTACTATGGGTTGGTGCAACTTGCTTTGTTTGTTAACTTATTAACCAAGTTAAACCCATTCTATTGACCAAAGCAAACCCATTGTCTTTACTACTTGATTGCTCTGAGTTGGAGTATCCGCCTGCAGGGAGATGGCACTTCGCTTGCTTATTATGAGATTGAATCAATATACGATGTAAGACTGCTTAACAGGGAATTCTATGTGGCTGCTGGTTTACAAGTCCATGTGGCACATTGTCATAAGCTTTCCCAATGGATTGAAAAAATGAGACATTCAAATTGTCTTGGATTTTGGTTTTCCCTGCTTCTTTTTTCTGCCACTTGATATTGTTATCCAGTTCTCGGGAATCTTTAATTTCCCTACTGTTTTGCAGGCTTTACATGCCAAATGCGCTACCAGTGCTTGATATGTGTAAAAAGTGGTTTAGGCACAATTATGTAATTTTGTTGTTCGGGAAGAAATACCCGTTTTTAATTCAAGTTTTGCAAAACTAAGTACGGTAAGGGGTTCAACATCGAGCAGTAGGCAATAGCAGACTTGAAAAATTCTAAGGGATGATAATCAGAAACAGTGGCATCATAATTGCAACGATGGCATTTGGAATTCTGTTTCTTGAGATCTTTTATGAGGTAACCAGGTTCAGGGATGTGCAAAGGAAAAAATTTGAGATTAATGCTTCAGAATTTGCATGAGCCTTGAGCTGCATTCAAGATCCGTACAGAAAGCTTCTTGAATATAAGAGAGAATATTTACTTGCAAAACAGCAGGTAGAATTTAGGGTTTGGCCCTTGCATGGAGGTTTAATGCTGGTACTTATGGGGATAATTTTTTTTTTTTTTTTTTTTTTTTTTAATGTAAAATATATTATAGTCCTGCAGAGCTTCTGATTTTCGGTTTTCATTTTGTATTTTCGTAATGATTAGCGGCTGTGACTAGATTGGTTGAGCCCCGAGGAAAGGGGTTGGTATCCAAAGGAAAGGATACATTTATTCTTCTCTTATTAAAGTTGAACAAATTTTTTGGTATTTATGATTTATTTTTCCTTAATATTCTATTAAAGAACTAATTTGAGTTGTCTACTTGTGGAGAATGCTAACTGCAAAAACTAGGAGCCAAACGCTTGTATTAATTGAATTATTTTGCTTAGATTCTGAATTTTTATTATGCCACTGTTTATTATCGGAAGATCTATTAGTAATTAATTTTGCCCAAAAATAACTTATTATGCTTGCTGCTCGGACGGACGATTAACTTATTGGTGAACAAAATATGATGTTGCTTTCTCTTATTCTGTTTCTGCTATTTTTTGATATGCGAAAAGAAACCCAAAAAAAAAAAAAAAAAAAATGAAACAAGTGGCCTTTTCTATCTTTTTTAATTTCATTGACTTTGATTAATTCTGCCTAATCAATTAAGAAAAAGAGAATATACTACTAATAAAATAAAATAAAATAAAACTTTTGGAATCATGTCACCCATTAAGAGTTGAAAACTTCCAAATGAGGAAACAAAATTTATAAATCTGCCTTTTTATTTTTCTTTAAAAAATATGTTAAGAAGTATAAGGGGTGTTGGACCTTATCTTCCTCGTTGCAAGCATATTTCTTTATTTATTATTATTATTATTATTATTATTATTTATTATATTTCAATTACTATTATCCAATTGAGTAAAATGATGTCCAACAACACTCTAGCAGATTGCATCACTCTATTTTATATGGCTGTTAATGACATGCATTTGGCTCAACAGAAGTAGTCACAGGTATCAAGATCTAGAGCTATCTTATCGACAATTCAACGCTTTTTTTATTATTTTTATATGAATCTTGATAAATTTTCTTTAGTTAATATTGATTTCACGAAACAGCTTATAATGTAAATAAAATTACCTGTAATAGGTTCCACCATTAGTACAAAAAAAAAAAAAAAAAATCAAAATGCTCGCTTTCTTTCTTCTCCTTGTTATTTTTTAACAGTTCATATTTTCATATCTTAGAATTATCATTTTTAGTAAAACAATTAGTTACTCCAAAATAAATTCTTTTTATCTTTTTTTTTTTTTTTTTGAAGGGATTCATTATCAATTGAAACCTTATAGTTCTTCCTTAAATAAAAAAAAAAAAAAAAAAATTATAAAGGGTAAGACGTTTAATCCATATATAAAGTATTGGGTTGGTTTTTTTTTTTTTTCTTTGAAAAGTAAAGTTTTGGATTATTGTTTCTGTCTTTCCAATGAGTATATTGAGTCAAGTTTGTAATGTTTCTAAACCAAATTTGTAAAATATTATATACTTTGCACCGATAAATTTTGGTATGTTTTCCAATTGATCTCACTTTTCAAACATTTAACATACCTTTTCTTGTCATTTATAATAAAAAAAAAAAAAAAAAAAAAAAAAAAAAAACATACCTTTTTTTTGCAAAATAAATTATTTAAGCCCCAAACTTATATTAGTTTTTATCTTATTAAAACCCAAAATTTTATCTGTCGACATTGTATTGCTTTCAATTTTTTATTTTTATCAAAATTAAACTCTTAATTAACTAACAGAAAACAGAAATCAAAGTTACTGAGGTTTCAATAATAACAGGTATGAGGAAAACCTCAATTTTATTCTAAAGAGAAAATTAAAGGTAAATTACAATTGTTCAAATTTTTATTTTCGAAGGAAAAAAAAAAAAAAACTAACCCTTCCATTTACTATGTCTACTTTCTCTTCCAACTTTTCAGAAAAACCTGATTTCAGACAGTAAATAGTTGCATATTTTCATGACTCAGTAAAATAAACGGTTTAATTTGAATAAAAATAAAAGTTGAAAATATCAATAAATAAAATTTCAGGGATTTTAATGCATTAACAGTCGATAAAGTAGAGCTTTAAAAATGCTTTTTTCCTTATCAATTATTAAAAAAAAAAAAAAAAAAAAAAAAAAAAAAAAAGGGAAAAGGATTATGTTACGTAATTGCCTCTTGCAAAGAAGATGAGATGAACCTATTTCACATTCAGGAAAGGATACCCAGAAAAGGAAAGTAGGTAAAAAGATACAAACCTTTCTTTCTATAATTTAGCACCTTCCTTGTAAAGCCCAACTGGATAGATACGACAAAACCATAATTTGCCTGAAAACAGCTTATTTGTAATTATTCCAACTTCTCCCTTTACTCTTTTTCTGTTTTAAAATCTACTGCTAGGCAATATAGAATATCAAAAACTGAACATTAAAAGTCTAAAATATTTTGCATATTATGGTATATAATGATATTAAAAGTATATGGAAAACGTTTTCTGGTTTGTCTTTGTATCCAGAAACCGCTACAAACTTCATTTCTCTCTTTTCGATTCATGCAAACTCGGAGAATTTATGCTTTCCCTATGGTTTTTTATCTTTTATTTTATTTTTTTCCTTCTCCATTCGGTTGCCCTCAAATTCTGTCACAAATAAAATAATTTGTTAATGCGAAATTTTTTAAAAAATTCTTTGGTATTTGTTTATTGTCCTCATTCCCAAATCTTTTTTTTTTTTTTGAAAAATAAGGAATTATATTCACAAACACAAACTTCAAAAAAAAATGGCAGTTTCATTTTACGGTTTTGCAGTTTATTTGGAAGGTGAGAGAGAGAGGAGACCACATGTTCTTCATTAAGGTAATACTAACATTTTCACGTCAATATTAATAAGGAAGAGTGATGAAGGCGATTTAATTTTAAAAATGGAGATCCCCAAATAAATTCACATTATATATATTATTATGTAACTAAAATTGAAGATTAATATAATTATATACCAAAATTCAAGAAGCAATTTAAAGTAAAAAAAAAAAAAAATTCAAGAGCAATTTTGATGCATTTAGGCCGGTGATGATAAGAAAAGAATGGACATACAGGTTCAACTCTTCACCTTTTTTTTTTTTTTTTTTTTTTTTTTTTTTTTTTTTTTTTTTTTGAATTTTTATCAGCTATTAATCCATGTAATTCAATATAATCAAATTGGTCAAAGCTTAAGCATCTCCAAATAAAACAGATTCTTATAAAATAAAAAAATAGTCTATGAAAGCTCATTACCACCTTCCTCACATACATATACAATGATACAGATATAGTATCTCTCTCTCTCTCTCTCTCTCTCTCTCTCTCACCGACTGGCCAAGAATGGAAGAAACAACAAGATCATCGTCCGCGCCACTGCCATGGTTGTTACGAAGGCGGAGCAGCCAAATGATAAATAACATAACCTCAGTTTCAAGCAGCCTTTTACCAGCTTTTGGAACTGTTATTGATGACGAGCACTTGCCGGTTAAGAAATATGTCATTATTCCCTACGATTATAGATACAGGTAATTACCTTCACTACTATTTCCCCTCGACTTTTGCAGGACTCTCTCCCTTGTAAAGTGAAAATATATCTTTTGTTTTTGTGCTCTTCAACTCTAGCAAAGGATTACTAACCATTTGAATCTAACAACTAATGGTTAAATGTCCCAAGGCAACAAGAAATCTACTTGACAACTTCAATGCTTCGCTAATCCCAATCTCCAACTCCATGAAATTCAAATGATCAATATTAGCAAGAAAAATATTGTAATATAACCTCCTTTTATTTTTAATTTTGTATTGTAAAATATAATTATGAGAAATCAATTTTTACATTTCACATAAGTTCGTCTGTTTTGTCTGATCAAAATCAGATTATTCTTTTTTGAATCAAAAGATTAAGCAAGGGAAAAAAAAAGGTTGATTAACACTTATTGAATAGCTAATTAACTCTTGAAATTAATTCAAAATTCACCCATATAAAAATTCCAGTGTTAACATTTGAAAAAAAAAAGGCTCGTAAACCAATGTTCCAACTGTATACTCACATGTCACGTTCTGAATTTTCTTTCCATTATTTTTAATTAAGAAAATCCGGTGGAGGACCGGCAGGGACTAGTGTTAAGTATTATACTGATATCGCAGGTGGTGGCAAACGCTCCTTGTGGTACTGGTATTATACTCTGCGTGGGCATCTCCGTTTGAGCTAGCTTTCAAGAAAGCGACTACCGGAGGATTCATGATCATCGATCTTGTGGTTGATGCCTTCTTTGCCATTGACATTATCCTTACTTTCTTTGTGGCTTACTTGGACAAAACTACCTATCTTCTTGTTGATGATCACAAGAAAATTGCACTAAGGTATGTTTTATAAATACATCTCAAATTAATTACTTCATAAGTTCGATTTTTTTTATTTAAAAAAAAAAGAATGTTACCAAGATTTTGCAATTATTTAAAAAAAAATTAAAAATGCCGTAAATGTAAGTTTCAGTAGTCGCGCAAATCTACATTGTAAAAAGTGGTCAATTGCTTTTTTTTTCTCCTTAATTTACTTTCGATACATATGTATTTTTTTCAATTAATCCCTCTTAAAATTCCGAATAAACACTCTTTACTGTAGTTTATTATACATTCAACCTAAAAATTCTTTTTCTTGGATCCGCCACTGGCTACCAGTGTACAAAACCAATCAATAATTCCCAAAAGTCTATCCCAAAAATCAATTGTGTCAAGATTTTATGCTTGGTATGGAAGTTACATCTATTTTTTGGCATCACAATATCTCCCCCCGCTCAAGCACCAAAGTAAGAAAAAAAGCCAAAGTAAATTGTCAGGGTCCGTAAACTAGCCTATTGGTGCTTAATATTTTCATTTTCTACAGATATGTCAAGACCTTATGGTTCCCTATGGACGTAGCTTCAACTCTACCATTTCAACAAATATACAGAATCTTCACCGGCAAATTGCACCAAGGACAGTTTTTTAACTGTCTTAACCTGCTTCGACTCTGGCGACTCAGGCGCTTTAGTGATCTCTTCAAAAGGTATATATAAGTTCCGCTCTTACATGGTCAAGATACTCATTATTATTGTCCTCCAACTTATCAAAAATTCGATTTTTCTGATCCAGGCTAGAGAAAGACATACGCTTCAGCTACTTTTGGACAAGACTCTTTAAACTAATTAGTGTAAACATTTTTTAACTGTCCTCCATTAGTCACTAATCAATAAAATTCTCTAAACACACTTGATAAATTTTTCCTGATGAAGATTTCTATTTAATCCAAGACAGGTTATACTATTTGTAGTGCACTCAGCAGGATGTGCATATTTCTGGTTGGCTGCCCATCATAATCCACCAGATCATACATGGATAGGACTTGAGGTCGAAGATTTCAAACATAGAAGCATTTGGCTAGGCTATACCTATTCTATTTACTGGTCAATTGTCACTCTAACTACAGTTGGCTATGGAGACTTGCATGCAGTAAATACAGGAGAGAAGGTTTTCAATATGTTCTACATGCTATTCAACATTGGGCTCACTGCTTATATAATCGGAAACATGACAAATCTCATTGTCCACAGTGCTGTTCGAACCTTTTTTATGGTAAATAAAATTTCTACTCTTTGCCTGTCTGTAAAACATAACTGCTACCATCTTAAAAGCCCTAAAAATCAAACCATTATCATGTTTCGTCAACCTCTAAATTTAACAGCTCCCAAATCCTAAGAGACCATTACTAGAAAGTATTGCCAGTAATTATTAATGCGTATTATGGAAAATGGTTTGACAGAGGGATGCCATTAATCAAATATTAAGATATGCTAGCAAAAATAGACTCCCAGAAGGCTTGAAAGAGCAAATGCTTGCACACATGCAATTAAAGTTCAAGACAGCTGAATTACAGCAAGAAGAAGTGTTAGAAGGCCTACCGAAAGCGATAAGATCCAGCATTGCTCAGCATCTTTTCCGTAACACTGTTGAAAATAGCTATTTAACCAAAGGAGTCTCTGAAGACCTCATTACTCTGCTGGTAATACATCCTTTGCTCTCTGAATACTTTATATTAAAAATGCTACTGCTGTAATTACAAAAGAAATCGCGTCAAGGACTAAATACACAAATAAAATAGTAATGATTATGTTATGAATGGTAGATTGTGATTAACGCATCCAGAGAAAGTAATTGCAGCTTCAGGAATATGTTTTCTTTCTTCTTCAGGTATCAGAAATGAAAGCAGAATACTATCCACCCAAGATGGAAATTATCTTACAAAATGAGATTCCAACAGATTTCTACATTTTGGTGTCTGGAGAAGTGGTATGGCTCCTTTTTTTTCACAGAAAAAATGACATCCTATATAGTCCTGGATGACAAATCTGAGTTGTATTACATATTGCAGGACGTGCTGACATACAAGAATGGAACAGAGCAGGTATTTACAAATATATGTATATAATAACAACTTCCTGAATGAAATTTCATTTGCTTATATCAGTGCTTGAGTAACCAGTATGTAATATTTTGAGTGAATATTCCATACACAAAGATGAGACTTCAAGCAGAGCTCAAGCATTGGATTTTAAATTTTCTGCAGCAATTCTGTTCAACTAGGTAATCATAGTACATTGTACTCGAAAACCTGGTTTAAAGTATTAACTCCAATTTGCACATAGAGTGACTGCTATAGAAGCAAATTCACTAAAAATAATCTCTCTCCGATGCTGATAGTTTCAACTAACATCACTAAAATGACAGTCCACAACAGAATTGCACTCAACAGGCCGCTTTACTGTCAACAAGATCCTGAGGAATTAAGTCAACAAGCAGGTTAATGTATCGCTAAACAAACTTCTTTCAATTATAAATTCTCTTATTGCATAAACAATAAGGAGATGCTATTACGCAATAATCATGTAAGAGGAAATAAAAAAATATAGGCCACTAATTATGAGATCTCAATTCATGTTATTACTTCCAGTATCACAAATTTTTGAGCTTTTAAAGAAATACATACAAGCTAACTGAAGAAAAAATCATCACAGTGATGTGAAATTAACAAAGTTTTCCCTTGCTATAAAAATAAATATTCATAAGAATTCTTCAGATTTTGTCAAAACTAGGATCTCAAGAAGTGGCTGGAGAAATAGGAGTTATATTCAATATTCCACAGCCATTTACAGTGAGAACCAAGAGGCTTTCCCAGGTCATCAGGATGAGCCATCACCATTTCAAGCAAATTGTGCAGCCACAAAGTGAAGATGGAAAAATAATTATCTCCAACTTTGTTCAGGTTTAGAAAAGTTATTTTTGTCTCATACCATGCCAATTACAATCACTTCTTGACTTTAATATTTCACTCTAAAGCTTTATTTGTTTATGATAAGTTCGTTTTTTCCAGTACTTGAAAGAACTAAAAAAGGAGATGCTACAAGAAATACCCTTTTCACTGGAATTTCTGGATGACATGAATATAGAGGTATACCTTATTAACTAGTGTCATTGTCAGACACATGAACATTATTAAATATCATTCTGATTTGCATACTGCATTCATCCATTAAACTGGCATGTGCACATACAGTACAATCCTGGTGTACCACTGGGGGAGAGTGGTTAGGGATAATGAAAATTGTTGGTGATACAGCTTTCTGAAAATAAAGAAGGGCAAAGAATGTATCATACTAGTTTTGTTTTTGAACTTTGGACGTCACTTTTTAAACTAAATGCCAAAGATTTTAAATCAGGGGAATTGATTTTGAAAATGATTTTTGAAGTGAACTAATTATTTCCAGTTCGAGAAATTGCCTAAAAGTATAGATTACCCCAAGATGTTTTATTTTTGTATCAGACAGTACATCAAATTTCATTGGCTGTTATAGACCAACAATAAATAGAGATGCATGGTTCAAGGGGATTATGTATTTATATATAGTTCATAAGGGCCAGTATGAATGGCAACACTATTTGTCATGTTAGATTATTATCTCTGAGGGACATTTTCTGCTTGCAGCACACAGAAGAAAATGAGGAGATACAAAATTTGGCAGCACTAAATTCGGATGGAGATGCAAGTGTAACAGGTAAAGAGGGCACCTTAGGACCATGAACTATATCTTCTCATACTTAAAAGGTTGCCCACGAAAACATCTATGAAGGCAAACAAAAACGTAAAATGTGCCTGCACTATTCCACAATCTAGTGGAATTTTCACAACCAGTTGACCGATCATTGCAGTAAATGTTCACTTCACTCTTATTGGAATGCAAATGTTTTGGCTTCTATCAGCTTTGGAGTGGAAGATGAAGGGATTGTCTATCCCATTCTTGGATAGTGGCCAAGGGCATCTCATTCATGACTATAATATTATCGGAATTCCAATCCATATGCTCCATATAAATATGTGTATTCATCATAAACCACATTTGATTAGAGAACTCGTGTTAACAGATACTATTGCTACAGTAAAAACATATCAGTTTACCTAATTCTGACATCTACAATTTTCTGCTGACACATACAACATCTCTGCTTGGCACAAGGGCTATCGAGTTTCTCCAATACAAGATTTCAAAAAATAATAATAATAATGAACATGTAAAGTTCCTTTTAGCTATGGATGAGATTCATCTAACAATTTTGCAGGACGACCAGAAACTTCACATCCAATATCAAGCAAATATCCCATCAGGGTTATAATCCATGGGCATCATCCAAATGACAATCCAACAGAAGGTGACACATTGGGAAAGCTCATACATTTGCCTGATTCGATAGAAGATCTTTTCAGATTAGCAGGTATAACCATATTGCAGATGCTGATCTTCCTTTATAATCAATATGAAGATATGTCCTTAGCAAATAAGAACCTTATCTATATATCTAGCAATACGAGCCTTGTTCATATTTAATCCATAAATATTTCTTTAAGACGCTAAATAAAACGCATCTATGATCTCACATTCATTCTCTCATGTATTTGAAGGCCTTATAGGACCTCACCTTTTTAAGCATGCGATTTATTGAACTTTCTTAAATTTGACGAATGCAGAAAAGAAGTTTGGCAAAGAAGGAAAAACCATTCTCATGGAAGATGGCTCAGAAGTGGAAGAATTGGTTGCAATAAGAGAAAATGATCACTTACATATTTTCTAAAATGATCCTTCGGAAAACTACTTGTAAGAGTTGGAGATGTGTCACATGCGACAACAAGGGGGAAATACATACCGCCTACGCATTTTGTTTATGTGTGTATACGAATATAATGTGATAATACTGTGATCAGTTGGCAATAATATATTTGTTTGTATGTTGGAATACAAGCAGCAAATATTTAACAAAATTTCTGAGCTTACAGTACTTTAGCATCTGTTGTTGAGCATATCTAATGCAGTGAAAGCAGCTTTCTGAAACCTTTCCTTCTCTTCCTCCAATACTTTCTTCCGCTCAAGGGTAGACTCTTTGCATTTCTCTATCTCTTCCATTATTCCAGCAGAGTTTTGATCAATTTCACTGCAGCAGGTTCATCAAGGAAGAAAATAAGACATAAACCAGATGCGGGCATGAAGATGCAGGATGCAGGACGTAAATTACAAAAGATCCAGATTAGGAACTGAGTATGAACACACACATACACTATCATCTTAAGCATGTTCCCCATTGTCGTCTGAACCTGCTGCGACATGTCTGCAAACAACCAAAAGAACTTGAGATTTTTAAAAATAATAGATAAAAAGAGAATAAACATTTAAAATAATACAATCATGGAACCGTTATTAATGATACAGAGTTACCAAACGGGAGACAGAAAATGGCAACTTCAAACTACCATTATCACCCAACGTTTACACTAAAGAAGGACAGTTTGTAAATAATTAATTAGAATCGGAATCGTTACAGAATCCTAATCAAAGAGAACTTGCAAAAACCTCGATCGGAAACAATCTAATAATTTCGAGTAATACATAGTTTTAAAATCTGCTTAACCTCGATCAATCATACAAATGCTAAGAAACTGAGCGAGTTCGTCTAATTAGCACATTATCATCCAACAGATGCAACTAAGAAACAATATTTAGAAAATCGAGTGCTTAAAATAACACGATCGTGATTCAAAAGAGAATTAGAGAAGTGAAATTAGCATTTTGAATGTAAGTGCGCGGGAACGAACCGTAAAGTAGAGAAGAGAGCTGAGACTCGACTTCTGGAGAAGAGGCAATAGCCTGAGCGTCTGGATCATCTCCTGTTCGAGCAGCCATTGCAGACGCTTTTGAAGCTTTTTCCTATGAGAGAGACTTGTGTGGAATCGGCGGGAGCGAGAGGTGAGTTTGTTCAAAGTGTTACTGTTAGTATTCTGCTTGGTGGCGCGATTTTTGTGAGGGGAAGTAGGAAATGTTTTTGAAGGTATGAAATACCAAAAAGGCCCATTATTTAAATGCATTGGGCATGGGCTCACCCCTTAAGTGGGCTGGATTTTGGAGATTTGATGGGTTTCTGAATTCTCACTCTCTTTTACTTTGAACCTTGAACCTGAAGAGAAGAAAAACAAAAAAGCATATGAAATTTGTATATTTTTTAAAAATAAAAAAAGCCCAAAAATTAAAAGTATTAGCTTTTGTTGCCACGTTTTCAAAGGTATTTGTGTCGATTCACCGGGAAAAAAAATGGTAAAATAGTACAAAATTGTGACAGTTTTTTTTATTAGTTATTAATCTGATGAACTCATACACCGACAACGGAAGCACACTAGACAATGAAAACTCGAAATTTATGGCTAGTGTGTCGTTGGACCTTGTTATTCCAGATTTTAATTAAAAAAAATTTCCAAAAATAATAATCAAATGAACCCAAGTCTCCACACTATCTTCTGTTACACACAAACACAGTAAAAGTTAGATGGCAAATGTTGCTCTTAATCCAAACATTAAGGATCATAATTTTAATTGTATATAAAATATCAAAAGACCGTATCTTCTCGACGAGGCAATCACCGCCAAAATTGAAATTAAAATAAAAAAATACTTTATAATAATTAATTAATTCATATATGTTCCTAAGGAATTTTGCATTGTGGGAATTTTTTGGTACCCGTGGAGGTGGACGTGTAGAACCTAGCAGGCTAGCACGTGTGTAACTTCTAAGATAAGGAAACAGATTTTCTTTTATTTTTTATTTTTTGAATAAAAATTGAAGATTAGTATTTAAGTGAATAATATAATTAATATATATTCATTTACTACGATGTCTGGTAGATGTGCAGCAATTCAGTGTATTTTCAATACAAAATTCAGAGTTATCATTCACTATCCTTATTTATAGCAAAGGAATTTGTCTCATACACTTAACAAGGGAATACCTTATTATAGATGTTTTAGTTGAAAAACAAACCTTATAGTAGTAATTTGTCAAGGGTAGAGTGGGTCAAGTATTAATTTAAATTACATTAAAATCAAGCAATTATGTGAACAATAATTATATTATTACAATGTAATTTTAAATCACTGATAAATTTATTCTTATAATTTGCCTCTTAATAATTAAATATCTTATAATATAAATTATAATGTGTTGTTGGTAAGTGACGAAATTAAAAGTTCAAACTCCAGGGTCCAATATAATATTTTTGAATTTCAGGAGTGAAATGGATAATTCTCAAACTTTGAACGATAATTTCTTTTTTACTAAAGAAATACAAGTGAATAAAACATTTTAATTACTAACACTCAATTTAAAATTTCAAAAAAAAAAAAAAAACCAAAAAAAACCGATACTCAATTACATTATTATATATAATATATACACACACAAACTATAATATATTGTGTATTAAAAAAAAAAAAAAAAAACCGATACTCAATTTACATTATTATATATATATATATACACACACAAACTATTTAATATATTGTTAGGTTTTTTTTTTTGTGAAAATAATATTATTTCGATCTTTATTTATTGATAGAAAAAGGTCTAGATTCATTCTCGAGCACAAACCATTTGAAATAAGCCACGTAAGTAATGAAAAAGTGACGTAGTACGGGTAAAGGATTAATCAACCGTCGATGACCGGTCTCATTTTGCATCTCTCTTCTCTTGATCACCGATGAATTTCATCGGGAAAAGTGGCGTTAACGTACACGTGTCCATTATCCTCCATGCAGGCCCAAAATCGTGAAAGCTGAATCACGGAAGACGACAAGATAGGGTAGTACCTAAAAGTTAAAAAAAGCTTAAACAGAGAGCGAGAGGAAAAATGATAACTTCCAGTTGGGTTTTAACACTGGTTATGTTAGCTAACTGGATGACGTGGCACTTGAAAGGGACAAGTAATTTTTCGTTGCCGTTAGTTGACGATGGTTGCCGTCGTCACGTGCCCCCAACCAAGAGTAGCAATGGAGGAGGGGTTGTTGACTCTGGGTTAGGACCATTGTTCAGTTACTGTATTCGGCGAATCGAAGGCGCAAGCTTTATTTTTATTACTGTTAATCCGTGAATCTGAATTTATCACATTGCCCTTATACGCTAAGTGTCCGTTTTAGCTCTCAAGCACGCTCCTAAGTTACACGGTTTGCGTACGTACATGTATTGGTTTACTCACCAATATCCTTAAATCTTTTTTATACGAGATTAATTAGAGTTGGTGTGTATATATTTGAACCAATTTATATATCAGTGGCTACCCTCCTATAATATAAATATATTTTTTAATGTAAAATTATGATTTTTAAAAATCCTGTGATAAATTTAGTTTATGATTTTGAAAAAAAAAAAAAAGAAAACCGGCCAAATCGAACTATGCTAAACATGTGTATAATATATATGTTTCTTAAGATATATTTATATTAAGGTATATAGGTGTATAGTATATAAACATGTGCAAGATTGTGTTCATAGTGTTTGAGAATTAAATTTTTGGAATTGTGAATTGATTTCTATTTAAATGAGTTGAGTTTTGAAATTTGACTCCAACATTTCTTTTCTGCGAGCAAATTTGGAGAAAAAGAGAAGAAAAATTTTAACTGAAATTTCTAATTTTACGCTAATATCAATCCAAATTTAAAGCTGAAATTTTATTATCCAATCGCAATAGTACAATCTACGTATTTGTTTCCCTCCACTAAACAATTAAAATTTTAAATTTATGTAATTCATCATCTCCCTCGTCCTTTACCGCTCTTTTATTAAAAATTTTAATCACTTAATTGTCTTTTGAAAGATAAAATAATTTGATAAAATTAAATGTAAATTTAATCAAATTAAAAATATTTTATTTATGATTTAGGGTATTTAACCGTTTTCTTTTATCACCGCGCAAAAATTAAAGTTGTTCATTAAATGGTTCTTCAAATTGTACCCATCAAACCAAATTGGATTTATTTCTTACGGTTTGGCTTTGGTAGTGTAATTTAATCAGAAAAATTTCCAAATCATATTTTCTGGTTTGATTTGAGAGATTTTTTTAACCGTCTCAATCAGATGGTACCCCTTAGCAAGTCAGTTGTCGGTAAAGCAATTTGGCGAAGGGCAGATGAGTAATTCGATTTTCTACCTTTTTTTTACGGATTCCAAGTCGACTGTCGGTCCGATTAACTGAACTTTGTTAACTCAGCCCCTTAACTAGAGTTAATTGCCGTTACCGTTTGTCAGTTTCCACAGAAACCAGTTAAGAGGCAACTTTGTCGTTTTGTGATGACTGACAGTCTAAAAAAGGGTAAAGAAGTACACTCAACCACTCTTCTCTTCATCATGTTTTCCCCATTTCATTTTTTATTGGACCTGAAATAATACCCAATTTTAATTTAAAATAAAAAACACGTTTCCACGTAAGCATACTAGAATTGTCTAGAAACAACTATTAATATATATAATCTTTTGGTTACAAAGAAATTTACTGTAAATTAGTGTTTTAAAGAAAATGAAAGAAATTAATTATTTTTGATAATTATTTTTTGTCAAATCAATAAATTTAAGATAAATAAAATCGCGAGTTTGTGTTTACCTAATTTTATCCCATTCATTATTTTTTGCTCTCATTTTAATTTTATTTTCATTTTGATTATACTCGGCGTAACTTTTATATTTTATTTTGATCTTTTTATAATAAAGATTTAAATATGAAATATAAATTTAAACACTCCTCTATTAAATACTTTTGACCAATAAAATCAATTTGAATTAAATACATGAATTGATGAAATACTAGAATCCATCAAGATATTTTCAAATTGGTTTAATTTAAAGCATCCAATTTTGAAGGTAAATGAGGCATTGAAAGGGTCTGAAAAGTGAAGTTAGAATTCAAGATTCAGAATGATTATAGGGTAACACAAAGTAAATGAAGTATTGATGGTTGAGAGAAATGAAAAATTATTAAAAGACAAAAATGGATAAAAGTGAGAGAAAGAAGTGACAAAAGAAGACAGGTCAAATTTATGTCTATCTTCAAGAAAAATTTGTAGAGAGACACAATTCTGTGGGCAAAGACTGTATTTGTATACGTACACTTTCAAAGAAAGAGAAAGGCAGAAATGTACAAAAGCACTTACTGCCACGTAGAGAGAGAAAGCAAGAGAGAGAGAGAGAGAGAGAGAGAGATTGGGTTTGTGGGTGTGTGTATGGAGTATTTCAGAAGCTCACTGGCTTGCTAATTTTGAGAGCGAGAGAGAGAAAGAGGAGTACTGTGCAAGTTTCTACTCGGGCTTGTATAGAGACTGAGCTTGAAAAGAACCCATCTTTTACTTTTTACTGCATTTGGGTCTCTTCTCTTGAATATCATTTCCTTGTAGTTTCCACAGGACGATAAAGGAACCCAGGTGTGATTTTTATTCTCTGATTGAAGTTCTTATTTTTATCAGTTTATTCATTTTTTTAGCACTCTAATTTGGGGGCTTGTTGACATTTTAATGCCTCGATCATGTTCTTTTGTGTTATTGGCTGGTTTTGGAGATTTTTTCATTGCATTTTGGGGATTTCTTATCTGGGTATCCTCCTCTCTTTGATTGATTTATCATCTGGGTTTTTCTGTTTCATGTGGAAATTCAAGATGGATAATGTTTTACTTCTAAGAGAGAGTTCTGCATTTGGGATTTTCTATTCCTTACCGCTTTGCAATTGATTGATAGCTTTCATTTGTTGGTTCTTTTTCCCTTTTTGTTTAGAACATGTTTGTGTTTTAATCTAGTTGTTATGTGGGTATTTTAGGATTTTTTTTTTTTAAATGCTAATCTTTGAGCACATTTTTCTTCTAATCTTCATTATTAATTTATAAGCTTGGTGATTGATAATCTTGTTTATTACGCACATAATCTTAGCTCCTGCTGGTTCTAATGGTTTTCCCCTAATACATAGCAACACTGGTTTATTTATTCAAAACTGTGGTTCTGATACAGATTAAGGGGAATTTTGGTGTTCCCAGCGAAGGTTTTGGGGTAATGTTGAGGAAGAGAACCAGGTCGCACCAGAAAGATCAACAAATGGGTCCCTTAACAATGTCTGATCCTGATTCTGAGTCCTATATCCAGTCTGATTCCATTGGAAACAGTCACAAAACAAACTCCTTTTTCAGTGTTCCTGGTCTGTTTGTTGGGTCAACTCCTAAGGGTTTATCAGATTGTGATTCTGTTAGAAGCCCAACATCTCCTCTAGATTTTAGGGTGTTTTCAAATTTGGGGAACCCTCATCGCTCCCCAAGGTCATCTCACATTGGGCAACAGAACCAGAAGAGCTGGGATTGCAGTAAAGTAGGCTTAAGCATTGTAAATTCTCTTGATGATGATGAAATGAAACATTCTGGGAAAGTTCTGCGATCTTCGGAGAGCAAGAACATTCTTTTTGGACAAAAAGTGAGAATTAAAACCCCAAATTTTCAACCCAACGTTAATTCTTTTGAGGCACCAAAGTCTTTGCCAAGAAATTTTGCAATTTCCCCTCATACACCTATCAAATCTCCTCTTCCAAAGGGCAGCTCTGATGTTGTTTTTGAGATTGGAGAAGCCCTATCTGAACCTGAACAATATGGAAAAATCAGGTCTTGTTCATTGGATTCCTGCAAGTCATTTTCAACCCTGTCGCGGTTAGCTGACCGGAATTCCAACTTGAGTTCTGGGAATTCCCATTTGAATAATCTAACTACCCGGGCTAACTCTCCTCTTCAATTTTCCGGGGTAAGCCCTAATTCAAACAAATCTTTGCATATGGATTTGAACTTAGCTCCAATGCCTGTTGGCTCTGCTAGTGGATATATTGCTTCTCTCTCTGCAAGTGAGATTGAGAACTCTGAGGACTATACATGTGTCATTTCACATGGTCCCAACCCCAAAAAAACTCACATTTATGGTGACTGCATCTTGGAATGTTACTCTGATGAAGGGAAGGAGATTGGAATTCCTCAGGCTATTACAAGCTCTGCAATTCCAAGAACATTTCCCTTGAACGATTTTTTGAACTTCTGCTACCATTGCAGCAAAAAATTGGAAGGTGGAAAAGACATTTACATATACAGGTTTGTCCAAATTTCATATGCATATAATATACATTGCTGTTTTTCTTGAGGATGTTATTTTCTTTGAGGTGCTGATTCGTTTTTATGTCTTTCAGAGGTGAGAAAGCCTTTTGCAGTTTAAGTTGTCGTTCAGAGGAGATTATGAATGATGAAGAAATGGAGAAGGCAATCAACAAATGTTCTGATGAGTCGCCAATATTCGACAATGGGGAGGAACTTTTTGAAAATGGAATTTTTGATGCTCCATAAATTCACTAGCATGGCTTAATAACATCCACCATGCCCGTGATTGATGAAACTATTAGCAAAGATAGACACCCTTGATCAACCGTCTCGAAAGAGCTGTTTATGTGTCATCTATTAGCAGCCATGGATGATCGTTTTGTACATTGTTTCCTTTGCTCTTCATGTTTCATTATTCACGGTCATGGTGAGTGGATTTTTAATTTGACTTTTTTTTTTTTTGAAAAAAAAAATTAAAATTTTGATTTTAGACTCATATGGCCTTATAATTCACCTAGAACAGTGGTTGCTGATTTTTGAGGCTACCCTATCTGATTAATTTTCTCATCTATCTCTATTATTGCAAGAGTTATTGTATAAGTCTGCAAACTCCACAAGTCCTTTTTGTGACTTAATATATAAAATGCTATTAATTATTATTGTATGCTGTTTTCCTAAGCTTGCAAATTTTCAAGAATGTGATTCCAAATTTCATGCCGGTAAGTAATACCTGTTCCTTCCCTTAGAGGACAAAATCAGGAGTCACCAAGTGATATTTACAGGAGGAGAGCCAATTTAGGGAAGATGAAATTAGTATTTGTAATTATCTCGTTTTCCTTAGGAGTGATGTAAGCTTCTAGGAGATGTTGACATTTTTCTCTCAAATTGCAAGCTCATTTACAGTAAAATAATAATAATAATAATAATAATACAAGTTCTTGCAGGGTTGTGGGTCCAAATATTACACCATCACGAGGTGATATGTTTTGTCTGCACTACGCTACTACTAGCTCATTGCATAACAACTTACATTGTACAATTAACTCGTTTAACTTTTATTAACTTTATATATGTCAATTGAATATCTAGGGAGAATTTACTTGTAAGAGACTATTCCCTCACCAATAATCTTTACATGAGCAATATCCATCTTTGAATTTATGAAATCTATAGTTATCCCTTATAGCTATTTCTCTACCATAAACCTTGGATATTAACTTCATAAATAAGTGACAATCTTCACAAATCCTCACATTATTCACAACCCTTATGGTAGAGTTTCCATGGCTATTTATTAGACCAAATGTAACAGCCAACCTTTCGCTGTGTCGAGATGAGTTTTCCGGTCGTGTTTGCTTCAGTAATCTTCTCTCAATTTCTTCTAACATGAAACGGATTTCTTCAGATTTAGGATTTGAGAAACTACCAGCTGTAAACTCATGAAGAACGCCATACTGTTCCATTAGACTGAGACCTGGTTGCTTCCTTACTCCAATGTCATGTAGTTTCATTCTCGTACTACTTACATCATCCCATCTACCTGCATTTGCATATATGTTGGAAATCAGCACATAAGCTCCATCATTTATAGGGTCTATCTCTATCAGATGTTTAAATGCAAATTCTGCTAATTCCACGTTGTTGTAGTTTCCACATGCTCTCATCAAGGAACTCCATATAGATACATCTGCTTTTATTGGCATTGTTTCAATGAACTTGACTGCTTCTTCCAAGCGTCCGGTTCGACCCAAAAGATCAACTATACACCCATAATGCTGAATCTTTGGGCTAATTTTGTACAGACTTTTCATTTTTTCAAAATATTTGTAGCCTTCATTGACTAAACCTCCATGGTTACAAGCAGAAAGAAGAGCTATGAAGGTGACATAGTCTGGTTTTATTCCCACTTCCTCCATTTCCGAGTAAATATGAATAGCTTTATGGGCATGACCCTCCATGGCATATGCCGCTATCATAGCTGTCCAAACAAATACATTCTTTTCAGTTAATTCACAAAAGAGCTCGTAGGCCATATCAGTGCACCCCAACTTCCCATACATGTCAATTAAGGCAGTGGCCATCATGTTGTCTATAACAATTTCATTCTTTTCTACGTAAACATGGAGCCAAATGCCATGGTTCAGGGCTCCAACTTTAGCACAAGATGAGAGCAAGCTGATTAAAGTGATCTTATCAGGTTTTACATTTGAACTCTGCATCTCCTGGAAAAGCTCGAATGATTCTCTGAGCAAATCATGCTTCACATAAAATTTGATCATGGTGTTCCAAGAAACTATATCCTTCTCTGGAATGTTGTTGAAGAAATTTCTAGCTTTATTGACATCTCCATTTCGGCAAAAGCCATCCAACATTGAATTCCACGATACTACACTTTTACAAGGCAACTGCTCAAAAATTATTCGTGCTTTATGGAGTTTCTCACATTTTCCATACAAGTCAAGTAAAGCATTCCCAAGAAATCCATCAACAATCATTCTGTACCTTAAAATCAAGCCATGAATTGCTCGGCCGAACCTGAAATCTTCCACATGAACACAAGCTGAAAGTGCTGTCACAAGAGCAATCTCATCCGGTAACACATTTTCAAACCTCATTTGTCTAAACAAATCTAAACTTTCATAATAAGCCCCATATTGGGCATAACCGGATATCATGGCTGTCCACAATATCAGATTCCTCTTTGCCATTTGATCAAACAAACGCCTAGCTTCATCAATCATATTAGTCTTCACATACCCACTAACTAGTGTAGTCAACAGAACAACATCCACCTCAGATATATGACATCTGGTGAAAAGCCTATGCGCTTCCTCAATTTTACTACATTTGACATACATATTCGCCAAACAATTCAACAATCTTCCATCAATCTGTAGATTATTGTCTTCAATGTAGACATGAAATTTTTTGCCCATCTCAATATTCCTCAACTTAGTACATGCTGAGACCAAGCTAACCATTGTTATCTCATCCGGTTTAACTCCGTCTATTATCATTTCATCAAACAAATGCAAGGCTTCCATATACAGCCCCAATGAAACATAACAAGATATCATAGTATTCCAACTAATAACATCTCTTTGAGACATTTTCTCAAACAGTTGGCAAACTTCCTTCAGTTTTCCACATCTTGAGTACATACCCATTAAATTGTTGGTCAGAGATTTATTTACTGCCAACCCAGATTTCAGAATCCTCCCATGGACTTCAATGCCTTGTTGAAGAGCAAAATTTCTAGAACAAGCATGAACCAGGAAGTGAAAAGTAGACAAATTTAACAGTACACCCTGGATGACCATTTGATAATAAGTCTTTGACACTTCTTTCGGATAACCTTCTTTTAGTTGGTTTTCAATAAGGGTATTCCAGATTAGGGTTTCAGGTCCAAAGTTATAGATACAAATCTGATAGGCACAATCGAGCTGATTGATTGTGATCAAGAAATGAAGAACATTGTTGGTAATCTGGTAATCTTTTATGAGATTTGTGGTGATTAAATGAGCATGGAGTGATGAGAATTCTCTTATATTTGAACAAGATTTTAACAAGGATACAATGCAATTGGGTCTTGGAACTGAAATGGATTGAGGAATTATTGGCTTTCGGTTACTAGTGGAGAGAGAGACGTATGGAGAGACAGCTGAAGAAGCTACGGCCATTTTTTTGCGATAGCCGTCGGTTCCCTCCATTTCTGATAAAGATTGGATCGGAGTTAAAATGACAAGAATGCCCTTATACCGGGATGCTTTATTTTTTATAAAATTACTAGAACAATAAATAGTATAAACAAAAATATTGTAGATATTTTTTTAGGTGAATATTTAGACGATTAACAATTTCAATTTTTTTTTTTTTTTAGAGAAATTATTCGTTTTTATTTGTTCTGCTGTTTTGACAAGCATCTAGTAAAGTAAATGAATTTTTTATTCTGGATTTTTATATACCAACTTAATGATTTATCGTGAATGGATATCAGATATTTTCATCATCGTCTCATAAATTAGCAGTAATTCAATTATTATTTCCAAATTTTAATTTATAATATAAAAATTATTCAGCATTAATCACTATAAAGTAAAAAGTAGACATGCTTTTATTAGCTTTTCAAAATACTTTTATTAGATTCTCAAAATATCGCTAGAAAGTAGCATGTGAATAACATGCTAAGTATACAAAAGAATAAAAAAGCATCCGCTGCGCATTTCTTTTCCTTTCTTCGATAATTTTTCATACTCATAAAATTGTTCCTGTAACTGTTCATGTAACCCGCACAAAACCAGAAGTCATTTTTTTGCCTCCACATAGTTAAGAGAAAAAAATTTCAAGATGAAGAAATTTTATTTACATAATACATTTAAGAGGGTACAAAAACCAATCTCCCTTCCAGCTTTCATCCTTAACACATGAGAGCCATTGGAGCGACCACCAAACAATTGCCCACCAGAACCAACCACAACACCCTGACTACCCTCATATGGATCATAGCATGGTGAATACCGCACAAGACAACCCGAGAGATCCACTTCGTAAGACTGGTTGGGAAGACCTCACATACAGAAGAAAACCTTTCCACAGAATGGACATGCAAGCTATTACAACTCAATAAGACAAAAAGAGAGATTTTTTTCCACGCACTCCATTCACTCATCTGCACTATGCCCATATTATAGCAACACACCTCCAACTTGACACAATGATTGACCTCTGAAAGTAAACATCAAACGAACGGAACACATGGACTAACAAAGGAAAAACAAAAGGCAATTGGTAACTACTTAAATAGGAATGCTGGACTGTGGTGGCGTGGTGCGTACTTGATGAACAAAGGAAACGAATGACAAGTAGGAATAAGGGAAAAAAGGGAAGAACACACAAGCCTTAATCCCAGAGACATAACACAACGCAGAACAGGATCACACTTTTGCATATGTCTGGATATCTTCGGCGTTCGACTAATACCCCCAAAACGATTATGCATCATGTGCTGAAGTTATCTTCAGTTTTAACCATAATTTTCCATAGTCTTTATTGTCTGCCAGCTCAGCCTTTTGTTTGACGAGTGTTGTACGACTTGCAATTCAAGCATTTCTGAGCTACAATATGATATTGCACTTGTGAGGTCTTTCCACAATCATTACAAAGTATCCAAACCTGTCATAAACAGAACATCCATCAGTAATTTTGCAGGCAGCAAGGTGTTATGATGTTATCCAGAAAATATTTTAACAAGAGGTATGGATGAAGAAAGGGTGAGAGAGAAAACAAACCATTTTATTTTGAAAAGGTTCTGGCATTGGGGTAGCAGCAATTTCGATATCAAATTTCTCCCACACCTTGGACATATCACAAACCGACTTGGAACAGAGAGGGCAAGCATATCTGTTGCAGTAAACCAATATCACACTTGTTAAATTTGTGCACCAAAATGTTAAGATGGGGTGAAGAATTAAAATAGTAGAGAGAGAAATAGCTGGCAAGGGGACTCACTGGTAGTGTTCTCTCATCTCCTTCAAGCACTTCTGGTGAATTGTGTGTCCACATGGCAAGACAGTTACATCATATCTTGACTCAAATAAAAACTGCAAATAATCAGTTGATTAGTAACTATGAGCTGGGCAGTCCAAAGGAACTGATTGCTCATCATATAATGTGGGGGGGAAAGAGATGGCCGAAAGAATGTGGCAACAGAATGATAACCTACCTCAAAACAGACAGGACAGTCATGGTGCATTGCTCCCTCTACACACGGATGGCTGTTCTTCAGAAGAATTGAGTAGCAGCAACCTTCATAGCACACAAAAAAAGCAGTAGTAGTCAGCATGCTACTCTTGTTATAACAGCTGGTCAGTCCAAACTAAAGTCTAATTATACGAATTATGTGCTGTAGCTTACCACACTTGTAACAATGGAAGAAATTTTCACGCCCTCCAATTCTGCCAAGGAACAGCGTACAATGAATTTAGACGAGTAGACCCACACACACACAAAAGGAAGAGTTCCACAAACAGCAAGGAAAGCATGCAAGTGAGATTTAACAATGTTTTTAGGTAAAAAGAACCATAAAAGAATACAAATATTATGATTCACATTAGTTCCCACATCATGGAGTTATGGACCTCTTTCTGTTATCGACAAGGCAAATGCTTGACAATGTTTTAAATTGAACTTAAAATGAAATATTTGAAGGGCAGACACTCTCCTAAAGAAATAATGAATATGGATAATATGTAGATTATAAAGGTGCTCCTTTCCCTGCCCCCAAACCATGTATTTTCATTCTTAAAATTTGGTTTTTCTTGTAACCAAGAAATAGAACTAAAATAAGAACAGTTCTTCTTTCCGTTATTGTAAAGACAAGATAAATAGCAACGAGATGAGTGTACCTGCAGATCCCACAGCCATCACAGTGATATTGTTTCTTACTTGTCTGCAAGTAAACACAAAAGATAGAGTCAGTACATCAATCTGAATAGTTCAGAAAGAATCATGAATTTTAAGCAACAGATAAAATACGGAATCTAGTAATGACAGTCCTATCTTAGAAATAATGATTCCTAATCAATTCTATGTTTCGAACCAAAATAAAAGCAGCTCCCAAACAATGTTATTAAATCAAAGTGAAAAACGTGCAGCTAAGATAAAATTATCTAGCCACTTACATCATCATCTAACAGCTTGCATGTCTCACAGAAGTACCTCCCCATACATACCCCACAATTAACGCAAAATTGTTGAACCTGATCACAACAGCAAACTAGCAATAAGTGACGTGTCTACATATCCAGATGCCAACTACCACGAGTCTAGAATGATGTAAAGAACAAATAGTTAATTTTAACATCCATGTTGGGAAGATGTAATAAATTTTTTATTATGTGACAGTATATTCGTCGAGATAGAATCAACTGTCCGGCTAATAATCTTCTAATCTACAAGCCTTCCAATTCCTTTTCTTTGTTTCTGGATTTTCCCATCCAGGATTCACTTTTACAAAGTACAAGAATATCAATGGTTCTTTTGACTCGTATTCGATATGTCTGATTAGAATACATGTGTAAATAAATATGATCCCAAGAATAAAAAAGTAGCGCTTACCTGTTGTTCAGTGCCACAAAGTGAACATATCACCTGGCAAAATGAAAAAGAACACAGTTAATGCAACTAACACTAAGATGTTAGACAACACGAAGAATTTACCAGAACACCCCATGATTGAAGGAGGGGAATACTCTTTAAAATAGTACCTGTCTAACTTCACGGCGTGGCAAGTCATGCCTAAGCTTCTGGTCAACATTTATATTGTTCTGCACCAAGCAAAGAAAATTTCAGTTCTAACTGATACTATTAAAAATCACGAAAACATCCACAATTGCAGAATTACTCGTCTCAGAGCTAACATCAGGTAGCATCTAAACAGATGGAAAATTGCAACTAATTCTAACTGGTGAATCACACTGTTGAAATCCACACCATGTAAGATGATGCAAAGAGAATGTAACACATGCATAATCAGAAATGAGATATATAGAAGTTTTAACTCAACTAGCTAATCGCAGGGGCTTTTGACATGTATAGAATTGCCTTGCATTTACTGACCAAAAGCTACATCATGTATCTTGCATAAGGTGCCAGAAGTTGCAAACTAACCTTGGCTTAAGGCACAAAACAATCAACGAATGACAGAAAATACTTAGTTTGATTTACATAAACTAATGGGTAATATGGATCTTTCAAAAGATTCCTCTCATTTTCATGATAACTAATTTCTGTTCCCCATAAATAATTGTCATCTTGCATGGTTGCTAATTCAGGTAGAATGTGGTGAAAAAACTCACCTTTGCCTCATTATGACAATGACGGCAATCAAAGATCTCATTACAACAAGGTGCTCTAATGCGGCACCTTCGGCGATAATGTTGGCATCTGCAAAAAGAGCATATTATGAGCAAATTTATCTTGAAGGGTATCTGTAAATTTGAAGGTGAACAGCCAAGGATCTTACCCATATTTCATACATCCTTTATCCAATATTTCCAAGGTCTTCATATCACTTGATTCTTTTGTAGCTGTGCACTGTGCATTCAACTGCTGTGAATGTGAACCCATAGAATCCATTCTGTTGTCTCCAGATGGCCCATGCTGAAAAGCTTTAGGCACCATTTGTTGAGACTCAAAATTCTCGATTTCTACTTCTCCCATTGGATACTGTCTTCTAATAACACCTAGAACACCTGCATGTAGGAATATATTTAGGAAAAATTCCAAATTTTGAAAGGTATCTTTAGTCACCGGATCAAGCCATGCAAACATCCCATGCGTTTGCTGCTTTCTTCTAGACTGCTGCCAATCAATTGAAATCAGCAACAACATAATCCAAGTAACGCTGAACAGCTGCAAAGTCCAATCAGCAATACTCCAACAGAAGAATCATCAAACAAGTAGATTTACATGAATCCCATATAATAACTATTAATGCAGTAGTTTAGGAACTCCAGAGCCTTCAGCTTTGAATAGTAAAACTAGAATTGCATTATCACTTGATTCCTTGAAGAAGCCCGGAACCAAAGTCCAATTATTCTGGACATGACCATTTAGAGGCCCCAACCTATCGTAAAAGCAATATATCACACAATCAAATGCATTCTAAAAAGTAACAAAACATGAAGGAAAGAGTGTGAGAGAAGTCTTTGTTTATTGTCCATGAAGGACAAGCCTACCTCGATTGACAACTCTGAACCAAGTCTCCTTCGAAAACTGAACTTACCAAAACCACCATTGTTTCAGGTAAAGCTTATTTGAGTCTCAGCTGGTTCTTTTGTTACCTAAAAATCAGAGTTTCATACAACTAGAAGGTTCATGGCCCCATTGTACATGCAGGAAAGAGATCTTGCTTCTTCAACTAAAAACTTCCCCAAATTATTAGAGTAAATCTCCGTCTCTACTAAGAAGGATGTGATTTTGTGAATTTGGAAAAGTATCGTAATAGGAACCAAGGGGAATATTAATGCCTTGTGTCAGCTTTCATCAACGGTTAGATGGCATTAGTAAGCAAACACTTTATTCAGATAACTCCAGTAATAAAAGGACAGGTAGAGAGTGAAGTGGCTGATGGAGGAAACTAGACATGAGGCCAGGCAAAAACTTAAGTAATGTTATTAAAGAGCGGGTAGATCATTGTCATATGTTCTGCATGTTTTAATCCTTTGCCTCAATACAGTACCACTTTATAGTCTCAAATATGAGAATAAAACTCGTGTACTTCCTGGTGTTGACATTCCCAAACCGGTTAGGAAAGTATATCCATGCAGAAAACTGTCATGCAAAGGCCTCCTAACTCTCTATATAGGCACTCTATCCGCCTTGAACTTCCAGAATACCTGCAACTGATGATGTGTATAATCGAAATCAACAAAATTAAATGCATTTACCCTTCATGGAGAATCCCTAAACAGAAGCTCCCCCTGCATCGACTAACAAGTTAGAAAAAGGAATCTGCATTCTGGTCCCACTTTCCTTTAAACTTGTGGATCTCATTAAGCATCTTATAAACAGAGTCAACCTCATCCACAACACTAAAAGTAACTTCAAGAAAATAAGAGTCCTATTACAAGACAAGGGTTGCTTGGAGCCATGTCCCTCCAATTAGGTCTTTGATAGTTTTTTTTTTTTTTTCTCCTTCAGTCAGGTTTCAATGACAGACAAGAAAAGAGAGAACTGTCCACAAAGCCAAACTTATCCAATTAATTTGATAAAATCTCAGACGATTTCTACGATCAAAGCAACTCCCTTCATAAACTACAATACCTAGCGTATATCTGCTAGCGTTAAATTCCGAATCCTAACTTAATATAGCAGATTAAAGAAGCCAGCATCAAATTTAAATATCCAAAACTTTTTTCCCGGTTAAATTACCGATCCGTTTCCTTTTTCAGCTGTTTTGTATTTGCATCACCTATAACTTGGACAAAACACACAGTAGGGATTACTACATGGGGAGATACAGATAGATAGGCAAAAAGATGCGTTTTTTTTTTTTCTAATTGTTTTCAAAGATATGTTAAATCCAAAATATAGTTTGCGCTTTTCTTCTCCCCAATAAAGACAGCAGAATACAAGGAATATTTACGAAGGAGCTAAAACTACAATCTTTACGAAGCAGAAAATAGACGCAATCTTCTAACACGGAAAACACCAACAAGCATCGATCTCATTCACCAACAGGATCAAACACAAATGATATTAACAAAACACGCAATTATAAATATCAAGCACCCTCAAACCAAATTTTGCGCCCAAACAGCTCCTAATTAACTGATCCTAATATCTATTAATTCCACAACAATTCCTACTCAAGCAACAATCAAAGTGACAATAAAAAACACTGCCAAATCGACAAATTAAAAAAATGATAATAAAAAAATAAAAGATAAAATTTGAACTCAGTGCACCGAAGTTACTTAAGACAGCCAAAAAGAGAGAAGGAAAAGTGATTGAAAAACTCAAATTTCCATGTGTAGTTCCTAAGACAGCCAAAACTCAGAAAAAAAATTTCTCCAAAACTCATCCAAATTTTGGTTTACTCAGGAACCACGCAAAGAATGTCACATTTTCCTTCTCATCCCCTTGTCTCCCGAAAAGGACACAGACCTAAGCAAAACGATCAAGAAAGCAGCACCACCATCATAATTCATACAAAAACAGCCAAACAGAAATTTAACAAAAAAATAAAAAAATAAAAAACTAAAATATCTAGCATTTACTCAATACATTACCATACAAACAACAGCAGAAACACAGGAGAGAGGATCAAAACAGATTACGAAGATATATAACACAGGAATTCTTTTACAGAATAACGAACTTTCAATCTATTTGGAGAGACGAGAAGATGATAAGGTCGCCGATCAGAACTTGGAAGTATTAAACGGTAAGGTCCTATTTAATATGATCCGCCGGAGCTCCGATTGAAAACTGCTTTCTGCGTTTATATTTTTGCTTGTAAAGCGACGATGAGTGACAGAAAGCTATAAACGGGCGTCTGAGTTATATAACAGAGCTGCTTTAGAATGCTTCCAGTGGTATTTTAATTTCGAGAGACTTCGAAAATTAGCTGTTTAAAGACGAAAGTGAAAGCTCTCTGCCCCTCTCTTTTGTAGCATTTCTAAATATGTCAGTTGACAGGTTGCATTTTAAATTTACTTAATTACCCCTGCCTGCCCAGAAAAATATCTTGCCTTTAGAGATGTGAGTTGGCTAGGACTGCATACGGCCATATGCAAGGTAACAACAATGGCAACTAAGTCTAAGGACTAATGGCAACTAAATCTTATTTCTCAAATTAGAGAGGGTAAATTATATGAATCATTCTATTCTAATTAAATTAATAACAATGCAAAACAAAGTAAGTCATAAAAAATTTTGAAATTATTTGATATCTTCATAAATAAATAAAATATAAAAAAAGGCAATAATAACTGGTGAGTAGTGAATGTATATTATCTTAATCTTTTATTTCTATTCATAGTTAATCTTTTTTAACGTTAAAAAATTATAAATCTTTCGTGATAATTCAATTATAAATCTTAAAACATGTTTAAAAGATGATTAGAGATACTAATATAAGTAATTAGTATATAATATTAAATATATTTAATTTTTTATATTAAAAATATTTATTACACTGATGAATTAAGTTTATAAATTTTATTGGTAAACAAAAGTTTATTTATTTATAAATTACAATAAATTTAAACTCTGTTGTAGACAAGTTTTTCCAAGTCTGAACCGTCGGTTACTTTGTAACGGGTCCAGCTGCTAACTTCCAGGAGTTAAATCATTAAATGCGTGACGCAATCGTCTGATGGTGAAATCAACGATCGGAATATGAGATGAGGATGGACATCAGCGTTATGGGGTTAAAGCTCGTTCTTATGCGAAAGCGAGTATGTAAACGACGGGTGTCCCTGAAATTGACTTGGTTCCGCCGACGTCTGACACGTGGCCTAGTAGGCGAAATGGGTTGAAGTAACGCATGGTATAACCTCACGACAGATGACGTGGAAAATTGAAATGATATTGCAAAATATATTTTTAATTTATGATCTGGCATATAAATAATTATATATTTGTTTTTATTTTATTCTCATGCTTATCCACTAAAATGAATTAGAAGATTAATTATTCCCTGGAAAACAGTGACTGCATATTTTCATGCTTATCCCCTAAAATGAATTGAGAGATCAATTATTACCTGGAAAACAATTATTGATGAGCAAAGGATAGATCATTGCTTCTTCCAAGGTAATTATTTATAATTTTAATATTTTTGGCAAAACCGAGAAATAAAATTATTTTCAAATTATAAAATATAATAATATTTATAATAATAAATTTAAATATATTTAAATAATAAAAATTGATGAAGTCGTTACACTTAATCAAGAGGTGCACTTTCTAGCGTTCCTTAAGAAATTTACTTCATTTGTATAATTATTATTTTTTTTTTTTAGAGGAGATTGATGATCTATTCATAAGAAAGTAAAATTTACAAGACAACTAAGCACAAATTTCTCATGCATTTACTGAAAGTTACATTTTTTTACTGATTAAAAGGTGGGGTGAGAAAATTGGAGTTCGAATAATTTCAATTATAAAAGTTTTAATTTTATCAATTTGGTGAAAAAATGAGAAGTTGTCTTTATTATATGGTCTATAATAATATTAATTTCGCTCAATGCGCATCTCTTAATAGGATGAATTGTATTTTTTTAAATGTATCATAGCATAATAAGGTAATTAGATCTCTATTTGTTTGTAATCATCCAAGTTCTTTAGAGTCTTTGTGTTTTATCTTTTTTTTTTTTTTTTTTTTAATTCTTTAGGAGTCTTTGTGTTAATCTTTTTTTTTTTTTTTTTTTTTTTTTTTTAAAAAAATGAGCAAAGGTTAATAATCTCTTTTATTCCAATAAATTAAATTTATATTTTCATCATTACGAAAATTGAAAATTCACTTACCATTTCAATTAATAATTAATAAGTGAATGTCTTGTATTCTTAATCTGTTCAACTTAAGAATAAGGAATAATCTTTTTAAATTACTTTTTTTTTTTTTTTTTTTTTTTAAATGAGAAGGTATAATCTCTTTTATTCAATAAATTAAATTTATATTTTCATCATTACGAAAATTGAAATCACTTACCATTTCAATTAATAATTAATAAGTGAATGTCTGTATTCTTAATCTGTCACTTAAGAATAAGGAATAATCTTTTTAAATTACTTCGGCATAACGAGCATCCAAAATATGCTAGGGTTATAACATTTGGGTTCCTTTTACATTCCACTTTCACAAAAATTGTAGACAATTTAAAATGATAATTTGCTAATGTCAACAACATTGGAATCACACAGAAAAATTAATCCTCATTTCGAATATTCTAAAGAGTCATAAATAATATTTTTTCAATATTATCTTATTTACATTAGATACAATAAATATTTTCATAAATAATTATAAAAGATAATTTAATCAAATTAGCATTAATTTTAATATAATTTATAAAAATTAACTATTTCCTTAGTTCGTATGCCAAAACTTTAAATCAGAATTATAATTTGAAATTTGGAATAGAGAGAGTAATGATTACTATCAAATTGATTCACAATTCACTTATAACACTAATAGAGCAAATTTGAACCCAACCCAATAGAAACTAATCAGGATATTTTCTTAATTTTTATTTCTAATATAATTAATTTTCAATGGGTATTTGTTTATCTTTCTTGCTGTCTCACTCAAACTTCATCATGTTCTACACCAAAAAAGAAAGAGAATCAAAACAAGGCCAAAGCAGAAAGCTTTCCACTTCAAAGAAATCATATATTTGGGTTCCAGTGTGTATAAGTAAATAATATAGAAGAAATTATCTGAAATAGAAAACAAAGTTGCAGGTCTTCGATTGTTTGAATTAAGGAACTCAAGACAACGAAAACTGAAATTAAGCGCACAAGCCTATCATCTGCAACCGGTTGATAGATGATAGGAAACAGAGATTTGAAGGAGAGAAATCAATGTAAATATATATTGAGTTGGTTGAGAATCTTCAGATGGCTAAGAAGGGTAACCTTTAACTTACAATTTTCGGGTTCAGTATATTGTATATAAGGTATCATTTCCCACGGCATTGGACATAGACCTAATTGCCTAAATTTTGTTTTTATAGAGTCAATCAACAAATATTGCCAAATTCGCTGATTATAAACATAAATCCCCAAAAGACAAAATTTTCACCTTCTGGAACAAACTATTGAAGCTAAGCCTGGTATGAGTTCTACGAATAAATAGCCTAAAGCAACTGGTCCCAAGCAGCTATAGAAGAACAGAAGTTAGCAATTGCCTACTAAATGATTTTTGATACAACAAATTACCAGTAAATATAATTTACAAGCCCCTGGGGAGAAAACGATATTTTACACTTATCTCAGAGTTGGAGGGAAGCGATAACCCAAGCAACCCAAATCTGAGCCACAGGCAATTGGGACGGACATTACTCTCCATTGATCATGAGTGAATGAACGGGCACCCTTTTTATTTCCACAAAGGACGAGTATTCCTTGCTCATTGGCTGTTTCCAGGGTTCACCATCCATCTGCATATATGCATCTTTCCATTCACCACCCCTTATTTCCAACCGAATAGCCGCAGCCTGAAAGATACCAGAAAAGCTTGTAGATGTATCAAGAATCGCATTTTGGCAAACAAGAAAAAAGAAAAAATCGCATTTTGGCAAACAAGAAAAAGAAAAGATGTATCAATCCTATATTTATGCTTTATGGCATAAATATATTTGTCTAAAGTTTATTTACTTGTATTACATTTATCTAAAGTTTAACTGACTGCACTTGTTGAATCAAACAAGCCCTAAACATACTTTAGCATTAAAATATATAAATTTCAGAATAATTGCAATACCTGGGCTATGTGTTTAGCAGAGATGAGCTCAACCATAACAAAAGATGCATGCCATCCATGCTTTAAGCCAAAGATTTCTAGGAGACCATCATCAACATGGGCCTCAACAAACCCTTTCTGCCAAAATAAACAATGTACATTTAGAAATCATGCATGGGAATCAACAAAGGCCTAGAAGTAAGTTCAATTCACTGTACACTAGAATAGTCGCATGAACATTGCCTACAGGCCCTAAATACAAAGTAAATAGGTCAACAATCTAAAGTTGAGAATTCCGTCTAACGAGACCCATTTAACAGAATCAATAACCGGTACCTTTTCCAGATACTCAGGCTTTGGGCAACCCCATGGATGTCTTCCACTTCCATAGTTGTGAAGGTTCAAAGCAACTATTGCCCTTACACTGAAAGAAAACACAAAACAAATTAAGAATAGAAGCTAATGAGTAAATTAAAAATGATAAGGATAATGATGATGATGATGATAATAAGAAGGCAGTAGTGGTCCGGTTCGACTATTAACTTGGAAGTGTTAAAAGATTAAGTCACTTGAAAATTCATTTGGTTAGGTTATACCAATTCTTGCACCAATCAAAAGGTTAATATTGCCTCACTGCCGCAATTAATCAAAAGAAAAGCTTCCAAACATATTGCTGATCCAATCAGATATTTATGCATCTCATGAAAATATTGCATCAATCAAACTCTACCTTTTAGGAACTTGAATCTGCTCCCATTCTGAGCAATTAACCTTTTTCACATGAATCCTTAGGATATTTTTAAGTCCCCTACAACACCGCATAAAATGACTTGAAGCAAAACATTTTCATAGAATATCATATTAAATGAATCAAAAAAGAAAAAGTTCAGATAAGAAACTAGTAGATGTCTACAAACAATTGGTCATTGATAAAAATTACAGTATGAAAAAAGGAGAAGCAATTTCAAATACAAATGATTGCCAAAACAACATTTGAGAAGCGAAAGTCATTCTATCAAATCTCCAAAGCAACTGCTACAAGGTGACTAAAGACAATTGAATGTCAAACAGAGTCCAAAAGCAAATATGTCTTGAGCACATGTGACAACAAAATATAAAATATATGCAAAATCACTAAACTGTATAATATAACCACTAGATAGCATGAATCACAGTTCAACAGGCACTTAAACAATCTGAGTGCAGTCACGTTTGAAATTGACTCTGATCAATGTTTCTCATATTGGTTGAAGTGCTAGACTATTAAATCTCAGATAGGCAATCATACATCTATTCATTATGTAAAAATCTGTATATCAGTCATAGATGTAGCTGATTGCAGGTAAGCAACAGTTACAGAAGATTACCTCCATGGTTTAAGAGGTTACTTAGAAAGTTTTCAGAAACATACAATTTATAAAAAATGAATGTTATCTTAATATAATAAATAGTAAACACAATAAATAGTTGATGACACATGTAAGGCCATGGCAGAAACTTCTGCACTCTTGATCAAAGATTCCTGAAATAGTTCAAAAAGTTTAAGCTGTTTGACCCCAATTGACAGATGGTTTCTTGCTCAAACAATGAGAAAATAACATGTCCAGCATAAGTTTAAGTTAAAAACAAAATACCAAATTGTTTTAAAAAAAATTAAAATCCAATGAACCAAATTGAATCAAAATGTAACTAATAAAAGAAAAATAAGAACTTGATACACCAAAGTGAATCAAAACTTAACAAGCCTCCATGACCTGACATAAGAACTGCTTTTTCATCATTCAGTGAATCAAATACCTACCCCCCCCCCCCCCCCCCCCCCCCCCCCATTCAGTGAATCAAATACCTACCCACCCACCCCCAACCCCCTCCCCACCTCTCAACATACACAGACGAAACACCCCCAACCCCCTCCCCCACCTCCTCAACATACACAGACAAACAAAAAAGTGCTTCAATTTAAATGACATAAAATGGTCCAGTTTGAATCTAACCTCAAGCTTGGATCACTAATGCAAGGTGTGAGGAACCATCCCTGACCGCAACTGTAACCTGAGTATATCAACTACAACAACCAATGAATACATTATAATCTTGCATTAGTGGCAACATTCTATAGAATCCAGATGAGAATTTTCATGATAGACTTTAAGAAAACATAATGCAAATCAAAATAGCAAGAAAAATTAATTTTACCAATGATACTGGGGCCAATACAAAATTTGAAGTAAATTATCTTTTCTGCTCTTTTCTTGATATCAATAATGCCTAAACTTCAAATTTCAAGTTTCTAGAAAACTTAGCCCAAAAAACGCAATACATTTTGCTAAAACATTAGTATGGTGAAATGTTTCAAACAAACCTTGTTTGAAATAGGCCCTTGTGCAAGAAAAGGTTTTTCATTTCGCAAATGGTGAAAGCCATAAGCTACTTGAGCATCCATGCCTGTAGGACAAGAAAAGTTAAAAGCTTGAAATATACGAACCAAAGATTCATCATTATCAAGGAGATGAAGAGTTGTCATTTAAAATAAAATCCTCATTTCTGCCTAGCTAGTTTTCACAATTTTTTACACCTTTCTTGCAAGTTTGAAGTTTCTTGAATGTCATAGGACTAGTGAAACAGACTGGTGCAACAAGGATAAATAGTTGGGACGACATTTAGCAGATTGAGCCTTTTGCTCAGATTACATATAATTATACCAGCAGATAAAATGAGATGACAATTGACACCCTCAGGAAGCGTTCATCAAAAGTTCGCAAAAAGAGAAAAACGAATCATTTCTCATCATATGATTCCCAAAAGTCAGTTTCTTCAACAAAAGGCACATTTAATCAAAGACAAAACAGAATAGACGTGAACCAGATTAACCAATTTTTGGCATAGGATATCCTTCATTCCTTATTTTAGAAGATAAAGCCTGTACAGTCGACAGGTTAACAAGTTCGGACTGTGGTTAGACGCTAGTCCAGTAGTCCTCTAATGCCTACACTAAAGGCATACATGATTGTGTTTACTCACTCTTTCCAGAAGTGATATTAACGTACCTATGCTAAAGTAATTATAGAAGACTCCTTCATAGCAATTCATTTTCTCAGGCACCTGCCCCTCAACTTCCAAACCCTGTCGTTGCAAGAAAATTTAGGCCATAACATCAATTATGATCAAACAGTAAAAAGAACCAAAAATTCAGCTAGCGTAGACTAGCCTCTCAAAGTTTTCACCGTATCTCAAAAGTACATAAACTCCATTAACATGCAAACAAGCCCATATGAAATAAAATGTAGCAGCATGAAGGGATTAGGTAGGTAGAGGACAAATGAGAGAGAAATTATATGAACTTTGTAAACTCCCAATCTTTATTGAGTTACTCTTAAAAGCAAAAGAAATCTTGCAACAGCAGTTGAGTACTAATTACTGAAGAGTAAAATTTTGAAATAGAAATATTCACTACCTGATCAAGAGAACATTCTTCTGTATGTTTCAGTGAATGAGGCGGATCCACGACTTCTCCACTTGGCATTGACACCACAAGGTGCCAACTGCAGCATCAAAGCGCAATGTTCAACGTAAGTGCAATGTTCAACGTAAGTGCAATTTACATTGAAATGCTACAATTGACTACATTCGTAACAAAAGGAAAAAACAAGGTCTCGTAAACAAAGCTTCTAAAACCATCAACTGGAATGGGACTATCAACTTCAAGACAAATATCAGGGAAACAAAAACAGTAGCACCATCTATCCTTTGATAACAGTGTAAAAACCATTGACTAATAAGATCACATTTACCTATCTAGACGGCAAACTGGACCAGTGATAGCCCTGTCAAGAGATCTTTTGACAGCTGATTTCCAAGCAAAAGGAAATGAGCCACCCTGAAGGGGTAAAGAAAACAAAGCCAAAGTTCAATAAAACAAGAAAACACAGCAGAATGAACAACAGTATAGAAGGAATGCTTACCCAACCAAAACTCCTGGCCAGATCATTGCCTGTACCTAGAGGAATGATTCCTACCGGAGGAATTGGCTCCCTCCCCTGTCTGTTAAGTGCTGAAAGACTCCCAAGCACCCAACCAACTGTACCATCACCACCTGCAACCTGCAAGAAATTTACAACGTGAATGCAATTATTCCACATTATAATGGATGTTAACTATCCAATATACCAAATACAATATCCTCGCAGATATTATAGTTAATAGAACCATGAAAGCATTATAATGACGATGTGTGCTATGGTGAACATACCATAATTCTCATCTTTTCCCGCGTTTCTCTGGAACAATAATCACCGAGGGCAGCCAACTTCTCTAGACAAGCTAAACCATACTCTACAAATTCATGGGGCTTCACAACTGATAGATCAAAAACCTGCATTGCATACCAATTCAAAAGACCAACTTTCTAAGCAGTATTAAACCAACCAAAAATATATATATACAAAACAAAAATAAATAAATAAATAAAAAGACAGAGAAGCAAGCTCCAAACCGAAATCGCACTTAAAATTATTAATCACAATAATAAAAATTTATGGCTCTAGTTGAAGCCAAAATGACATTTTTGGCCTTGATAAGACACAGTAACTACAACTGTTAATCACATTCCATCAGTTAACAACTATAAAACTTCTTTTTGTTCTTTTGTGCATAAATAATAATAACAGTAGAACTATTACCTGTTCTGCGCCCATTAACTGCTGGAGCCGCTCTTTGAGTTCCGGTCCATGGCGGCCACCACTCTTAGAATTAACAAAAACAACCATAGGACCTTCGGGAGCCTCCTGGCGAGAGTTAAGTTCACCGCTGTTAAAATACCGTTGGGCTTCACCAGCGGGGTCTTTGGACTTGATGGAATCACGAATGGCATGACGCAAGTACTCAGGAATCAGTAGCTTCCTCTTCAAGTTCTCCTTATCGATTCGGACCCCCGACAACCCGCAGCCGCGGATCGAATCAATCATTGACGATCTTGCCGCCACGATCCGCGCCGACGATGCGCCAGTCGACGTCGGCGAGTCCATTTTAGAGTAGTACCCCGGTTGCCTTCTCCCTCTCTCCCTGGAAACGAAATGAGAAAAATGGTTGAGTGTGTGATTTTTTTCGTACTTGTATTGAAGAAGATAGGAGAGAGAAAAGAAGATCCTATGTGCGGAAGAGCTGTTAGGGAGCGACCTTTTAAAAAATATTTGACGAGTAATTTTTATTTTTTTTATTATTTGTAATTATTTGTTGCCCTTGGGATATCTGTTTATTACTAAAAATACCAGCTGATATTAGTACGTTACTAATATAACTTCCTAAATAAATTTTAGCTTACAGTAATCTACAAGTTATTGTTTTTCATTAAAATTAATTTTTCCCTAAAGAAAATGAATTTTAAATAAAAAATTAGAGATTAAAAAATGTTACAAAATTTTCAAAAAGAATGATATAAATATTTTAGTGGACTTTGAAATTTAATCATAATTATTATTTCCTATGTGTTCAAAAGGAAATTAAAAATTGAAATAAAATTCATCTCATCTTTTTCATTTTGCGTAGCATTATCTCCCTCTGTATTAGAAAGATGGAAATGAAGAAGTTTTTTAAGTCAAATGAACATTTTCTATTCATAAAATGAGATGATAAATTTGAATAATATTCTTTCTCATTTAACAATGAAAAACTTTAATATTTATAACCAAATGAAGTTTTAAAAAAATATTTATAACCAAATGCTATATAAGTTTTAATCAAGTTTAACTAAATATTTAATATTTATAAGAAAATTATCAAAAAAAAAAAAAAAATTTAATATTTTATAACCAAAATGGAAGTTTTTAAAAAAATATTTATAACCAAATTGCATATAGTTTTAAATCAAGTTTTACTAAATATTTAATCATTTAATAAGAAAATTATCAAAAAAAAAAAAAACCATAAATGCTACCCTCAATAAATTTAGCTTTAAATAATTATTACTTTTTTTTCTTTTCATTCTTAAAAAATAGATTTTGAAAAAAAAAAAAAAAACATAATGCTACCTCAATAAAGTTTAGCTTTAATATTATTATTTTTTTTCTTTCATTCTAAAAAATAGATTTATTTCAACTTTCACGCAAATTCAGAAACAATTAATTAATATTATTCAAATAATATATTTTATCTATATTTTTCTAATATATCATCTATTAATCATCAGATGTCATTTTCAATAAAGAATGAAATAGAAAAATTGTTGATAACATCACATGACAAATGAGAGTATATTAAAAAAATTAAGAAATGAATTAAATTTTGAAAAACAACGAAATTAATGAACTTTAAAAAAGAAAAAAAGAGAAATAAGTTTACCTTTGTCGAAAGAAAATAACGACATTTTATTGTTGCATTCATGATTTTTTTAGCAATTACTTTTTAGAAATTACTTTTATATAAAATTATAAAATTATTAATTAATTAAATCATTATTATTGTATTGTTTTGGAAGGTCCACTCATATATTTATATAGTAATGGAATAATGGCCACACACGTATGATGATTGGTGAAATATGGGCTGATAGGCTGGAGCTGGACTTGATGAAGGTAGTTGAGCTTGGGGCTGGATTTTTATGGTTGACAGATACATCTTCAATTTATTATTAATGCTTTGCATAATTTTGAATATTTTTTAATATGTAAAAGATTTTAACATGCTATATATCAAAGTTACATTATAAAATACAAATGGTAAAAGAATTATTATACGCTCCATGAGATAGTTTATTAAGAGCAATGCTTGATATCAAGCAACTTCAAAGAAATTTTTTCTAAAACTCTATAGTTGATAGGGATCGAATTATTGATATGGGATGGATCTAGAATGCGAGATCTAGTTATGATCCTCTGTATTTTGAAACAGAGAAAAAAGAATGTTGTCTTATCAACACAAGATTTAACACAAGATAAAATAATAATGGAAGCCAATTGGGTGGTTACATTTATTTGTTGCGGGGTTGTAGCCACTAGCCAATGTCACTTCATAATAAATAGCTACAAAGAGGAGTTAAAACATTTGCAAGTGACCCCTAGCCCACTCGCAAAGGTGATGCCCTTTGTTTCTCTAGTCCAATTATTGATATTGTGACATTTAATCCATTTCCCCTGTAGTAGGTTGTTTTGCCTTCAATGATAGAGGTAGAAGTGATGCAGTATTTTAGGATATCTATCCTGCTCCAAACTTTTTAAAGAGAATATAAATGATAATTATAATTGAGTTTAAAATAAGTACAGATAGTAAAATTATTATTTGCAATGGCTATGAGTAGAGTATAGATATAGATCTTTGAGTACTCGCTATCAATTATTCGTTATTTCTGTATTTATGAATATCCAATCCATTATTAGTAATATTTTGAATAATTTTGGATTTGATTAGTTAAGGTTCACGGTATTCATTTTAAATAATTTCGGATTTGAATAGTTAAGTTTTGCAGGTACCTTACTTGTACTTTAAACGGGTGTAAATACAAGTATTTAAATAAATATTTAAACGAATACGAGTAGTTTTTTGGGATACCTGCGCACTTCAATCCCTACCCAATGGGTTTAGTAAGAGTTCCTTTAAAAATAATAAATGGCTAGAATGAGAAAAATCCATATTATGGCCAATATAAATTAATACAGTATGGACTTCATCCATATAAATTAATACCTTACTTGTACTTTAAACGGGTGTAAATACAAGTATTTAAATAAATATTTAAACGAATACGAGTAGTTTTTTGGGATACCTGCGCACTTCAATCCCTACCCAATGGGTTTAGTAAGAGCAATTGAAACATTTTCCTTTAAAAATAATAAATGGCTAGAATGAGAAAAATCCATATTATGGCCAATATAAATTAATACAGTATGGACTTCATCCATACTATATTTGAGCAGAGAAAATATATATTGGCTCATTCACTAATTTGTTAAAGAGGTATTAAAATTTTAAAAATTCGGATTCACCTAAATATTAATTATTTTAGCATTCAATGACAAATAGTTTTTAGAATTTAACAATAAGTTTTTTTAATTAATATCTATATCGTTATTTAAATTTTAATTTCTAAAAATTTAAAAAATTTCAAATGTAGCTTTAGCATTTTACATAAATTATACACATATTATTTTATTAATTATAGGATATATTTCAATCCGACCAAAATGAATTTAGATTTAAAAAAATTAAATAAAGCTTATGTTATGCAATTTAAGATCATTATGGCTGAACTGGATTAATAAAAATATATCTAAACCCAACAAATTAGACAAGCGGACTAGACGGATAGGAGTGTATGCAAGCGTTAAACCTACCTAATATTAATAAAAGACAATTAACTATTTAGTATTCGAATTTTGGTATCACTATCATAGTAAAGTTCGGCAAAATAATTGATTTTTCTTGAGATTTAGCGCTATTAAAGTGCTTTTCGTTTTTATATTAAATATTTTATAATATTTGACTATTTGATTATTCTTAGTATTTAATTTTTAATTTAACAATAAAAATGATAAAATTTTTAAAAGGCAAACTAAATAGTTTAATGGGGTTAAAACCATAATGATGAGTCAGTGATTTGCTAAACAATAGAGGTGTAACAGTAATTTTGATCAAAATTTAAGGACCAAATAATTAATTACCCTATTAATAACAACTATGTAGTATTTCGGAAATTTATTTGAGAACTAGGGGCGAACATGGAATCCAAACAACGCCAACTCGTCTCACGGAAGACAAAAATTTTGTAAGTTACAACGGAACGCGGTGCCATGACCGTTGATACTGTTAACGGGCCCGCCAAAGTTGGCCGGCGAAATTTCAGCTTTTGAAGGGAATAGGCATTGCGTGCCTTTTGTACTTTAATAGTCAAATGTTCTTGAAGCTTTTTGAAATTCACATGACGTTTTGGTGGCATAGTTACAAATTTCTGCGACTTGGAATCTTACTTTTCCAACTGCGGAGCAAACTTCTCTCTTTTATATACCTTTTTTTTTTTTTGGTACATTATTTACTTACACCTTTTCTAAAACTATTATTTTCTTATACTTTTTCTATAAGTTTTTTATTTATTATTATTTTTTCAATTTTATCAATTAATTAAATTATTTTCCATAATTTGCTTAAACAGGAGCTGAATTATCATTGATTTCACACTAATATTTTTATTCTCAAATTCTATTCACTGGACAATCCAGTAGAGATGGGCTTATTTTTTCAAGGAGTAAATGACACAATTAGATATCTTGATGACAACACAACAATATGGTGCTAGGAAAAGCATGCCATTAAATTATGATGCTACCACACTGTCTATTTTGGTACTTTCTTGGATTATTTTATTTTCCGCTCTCTTTTTTAGGGAGATTACAATTTCTCGTATTTTAGTGGAAGCTAATTTTAGTACGGATTTAATTGCGAGTTTTGCTTCTTGTTTTTGATTTGTGTTTATATATTCTCAGATCAACCTCCGATTAGTGTTCTCCCTTAAATGACTCATAATGTTGTAGGCATAACTTACTTTAGATGGTATAATTTTTAGTTTTTTTTCCTTTTTTATGTACCAAAAAAAATATTATAAATATGTATTTATAATATTATAATAAATTCATCAATAACCAATAATGTATTGATAGAGTGGTAAGTAACCTCAATTTTCATAAGGGTGAAAAAAATAAATTCAATTTCTAAAAGTTGAAATAATCATCCAAAGAGGATTACGTCTTCTGCTCAACATGAAACCGATTTTTTTTTTTCCATTGAACAGAATTTTCCACTAAATTAATGATGAATACTCAATTCTACTTTTCACAAAACTTCGAATTTTTTCTTTCTACCAAATTAAATCATAAATAAAAACTCAGTAGATATGAACAAGGCAAATGGATTGATGGATTTATGATGCATATTGGTTTGCCTAATGCCTTAGGTTGCTACTTAAAAAATTGGTCAATAACGTAACGTTTACACTAGCTTTTATAGCTTATGCTAACGTTTTTGAAAAATTAATTTATGTAGCGTTTAGTTTCAGTGTTTCATGAAAAGTTATCAAAACAACTAATAGTTAAACGGTACTAAAATAATTAATTTTGTCAAACAGATTTTAAAAGCTGAAATCTGGAGGTGTATCAAGGTCTCACTTTAGGCTGGGCAAGAGGTTATAAATTTGTTGAGTTTCAGTCAAATTCACAGGTTGCCGTTGATATTCTCACATCCAGCCACAGTTCTTCTTTGATGCACGAGAATTTAACATCACCATGCAGTTTATTACTCAAAAAAAGTTGGCATATCTTTTCCAAAAAGATTTAAGGAGGTTAACAATATCGCTAATGAGTTAGCTAATCAAGCCATCTGTTTGAGTCGTGGTCTTCATGTTCTTGATTATCCTTCTAGCTTGGTTTCTAGAGGCTGATAGGGTAGAGGCCATTTGTTCTAGACAAATTTTAATTTTTGATTTTGGATTTCAATCCTCTTTTTACATAAAAAAAATTATCAGGCCATTTAAATGTTCAGATTAATTAAATCATTATGTACAAAATTCCAAGTGTAAAATTAGACTAGGAATTTTTTTTTTTTTTTTTTTTTATTAGTGTACAAAATTCCAAGTGTAAAATAGACTAGGAATTTTTGAATTTTTTTTTTTTTTTTTTTTGAGAAGAAGACTAGGAAGTATTTTATTTGACTTTTTTAGGTAAATTAACTAAAAAATTAGTAAAACTTTAATAGAAAAATAATAATTTTTATCCAAACTAATATTTAATGTTGTAATTGAAATTATAATTTTAACTGTTCCCTTGAATATTCTCCTAAATTCAATCAATTTAAAAATGGAGTGGATATGAATTATAAAAATAACAATGGATAACAAGCTCCATTTATTTATTTTAAATAAATTAATTCTTTATTTTTCTGACTTTCTAATTAAGTACAAGTAATTTCCAAGCTAATACGGCAACGTATTGATTAGATTTTACTAGAGACATCTCACGTATGGGCTACAGACAAGCAAAACATCTTCACTTCACCACCTGCTCCCTCCGTCAGAGTCTTTTGTCTTTCACAGTAAAAAGCCCCATTTCTTTTAAAATACTAGACTTCCTATTTCCTTCTCTCTGAAAGTTCGCTTTCTTCAATGGCATCATTGTATTATTAGGTATTCCTGCTGCTCTTTCTCGTGAAATTAACTAATGCATATTAGTTAGTCTTTCGTTTCTATTCTCTTGGCTTTCTGCCTCTGTAAATTTTTAGCTGCATATCTTTATTGTCATTGTGTATCCATGACAATTGTTGCTTTTCAAAAAAAAAAAAAAAAAAAAAAAAAAAAAGAAAATCCATGATAAATTGTTTGTTTTAAGTATGTATAGACATGTGGAAGCCAGTTAGGATCTTTGTATCTCTGGAAAAAAAAAAAAAAAAAAAAAAAAAAAAATCCATGATAAATTGTTTTTGTTAGTTTATAGACATGTGGAAGCCAGTTAGGATCTTTGTATCTCTGGTTCTATTGATTCTATTATTGTTTTTAGTATCCAATCTTTCACATCTTCATTACCCAGCTACTGGATTTGGAACCAGCTTCAGATTCAACCATCATTTTTTGAATTCTAATCTTACATTTCACTCCCACCAAAAGTTTATTCACCATCTTCATCATTTCATCTCCAGGTTTAGAGGGTTTTCTTACCTTTTTTTATTTTTCAACTTTGTTTTTTCTGGAGTTGTTTGACTGGTGTGCATTAGTACATGTTTGACTGGAAATTTTTGAGTGTTAACAGATATTTCGTTGGAAATGGTCAAAGATGTAGTCTGCAAAATAAAAATGTGATATGATACCTTGTGCAATCTGTAGCAATCGCCACTTTAGCTAATATAAAGCCCATTGCCTACAATAGTTTATCCAATTGTGATTAGCTTACTTTACTTGCTTCACTACTTATTTTTACTTCCATCAATGTCCAAACCCTCTACCACCACTTTACCCCATTGTCACTACTGCCATCTTTTTGCCATTTTCGCTACTTCGATCTGACCACCACTGCCACTTTGTTGTCAACATGACCATCACTACCAAAATAAACTAAACAGAGTAACAAAACTTGTCATATATTACATTGTTTATTTATTTATTTTCTTCCAAATTTGGAAATAGGATGGTCCATTCTATTGCAGTACATTTCGCATTCCATTACATTCCAGATTCCAGTCCATTACATCTTAATAAAAGTAGCCTTGGATCATAGATTATATAATGAAATTTAGGACATCAATTTTTTTTGCACTCATTAGAAAGGAACCTTTACTGTACCTTTGACTAACAGCAAAACAGTACAATGAACCCAAGTTCCAAAATTTCACATGGTCTTTCCTCTTATTGTTATGTTTGTATATCTTTCTTTTCCTATCATTATCTAATTTTTTTATTTTTCATCTATTGTTATTTTTCTTTGAAGCTGTCTTTGTGCGTTTGTGTTCTTTGCAATCACTAAGAAGGCTTAAAAATGTGTTGAGATCCCTACAGGAAACTAGCTGGAATGCATGAGAATACTATGACATCAATACCTGGTTGTTCAAATATGAGGAAGGATTGTTACATTGGGGGTCCACTGAAGGACGAGTTCACATTTCCTGCAAAATCTGTTCCCTTCAATAATTGTCATGCCTCTACCATTGTTGAGGTTGAGCAATTCTACGAAAATTTTGGTTTAAGTTCCTTACAATTTTTTTCTAATCAGCAGAAGTTTACTGGATGTTAGATGATTTATGTGATTTATGCAGGTGGACAAAGATCACTTTTTGGTTGCCTATTTTGGTGGTACAATGGAGGGAGCACCTGATGTGAAAATTTGGTTACAGACATACAAAGTAAGCCTCCATAGCTGGAATTACTTTCTGAGTAAATAAGAGGATGGGCTATAAACTTCTGCTGATGCAGCGATGCATTTGATCTTGCAACAAACAGTTTTTTAGTTTGCACTCATATTATTCTTATTTTCTTGTAGTGTAAAGTCTAAAACTAGCTATTCCTTCGAGTGGTAAAGTGCAGTACTTTTCATCATAAAAGAAATGACACCAAACAACTTTTATTTAGCTTCAAAAGCTTGGGTGTGAATTGGCTGTTTTAGAAAGATTTGGCATTTGCTCTTTGATTTGTTAAAGATCTCTTTTTCTTTAATTTTATCTTTTATATATTAATAAAACTCAGTGGACTTAGGGTTATCACCTTTCATTTCAATGCAACAAGCAGTAAATTTGTTCTTATAATCCCGTTGCGGACCACTGCTTGGATTTGACAATGAATGCTTATCACATATGAGTTGGTACTTGTTCGACAGAGTGGTCAGTGGCAATCACCCATCATTGTTGATGAACAACCTGAAGTTCCTTTGTGGAATCCTGTACTATTTAAACTACCATCAGAGGAGTTGCTACTGTTCTATAAAATAGGTCAAGATTTTCAAAGGTAAAAGTTTCGAGTGTCAATGTATTTCTGTCTAACTTTGCTGTTTTGCTGTCAGGCTTTTCCCAATCAGATGTAAGTTGTAGAATATGTTTTTCAAATTTCATGTGTTTCTGAGCTAATATCTGGGTCTACATGTATTAATAATTTTCAAATCATACTATGCAATTCAAATTGCAATAACTTATTTAAGTTTTTTGCACATTCTATCACAAGATAAATCGGAATGACTAAAACGTTAAATCTGCCAATTCATGGTCCTGCATGAGAGGAACTAGAATATTTGATCATTGAGAAACATGATGTTAATATCTGGAGGTAATAGCTACATATTTATGGGACAATTGATCCAGCAAATTATCTTTTATGCATACGTAAGTTGAATAGCTAAACTAAGCTAGGTTAGATTTTATGAGGATTTGCGAATCTCAGTGAGGTACTTTTTTGGAACTTGTTGGTCTGTCAATGATGGATAAATAAGGGATGTGTTCAACGCCATTATGGGTCTCTGGGTTCTGTCCAAATGGCCCTTGATAGGTGACAGGTGCTTGGCTGTATAAGGCCTAAGCTTCATAGGTTGCTACTCAATTTGGGATAGTGGCATCAATTGCCTTATTTGTTCCAAGAGATATTTTCTTTATTTGATTAAAAAAAAAATATTGAAATGATTATACCTTTCCATATTGACTGACATTGCATTCTTTCTTGTGTCACATTACAAATTATATTTTGCAAATTACCTGCCGTTTAAGTTAAGTGCATTTGAGGCTTCATAATTCTTAGATCATGCAATATTTCATATAACTGCAAAAAGTCTGCTTTAGAATTCTTCAATTCTGTGACATCGTTTTCTACTTCATTTTCACTTTGTGGGAATGAGAGCTTGGTTTCAGTTTTTGCGTACAGGTGCAACTTCTCTGCCCCTACTCACAGTTGACTTACTTATTTTCAGATGGAGCGGATGCCTGAAGCGGTCGTATGATAAAGGTGTTACTTGGACGGAAAGAGAACAACTTCCTCCTGGCATATTAGGACCATCAAAGAACAAGGTATAATTTGAAAAGTGAAATCATCATATTATTTGTTTGTATCGGCAAGGATGGAGCTTTCTTGCCACGAATATTCTGCCCCCTGAAACGAGTGATTCCCCTGCAGCCAATCTTGCTAGAAAATGGGCTCTTGCTTTGTGGATCATCAGTAGAAAGTTGGAATTCTTGGGGTGCATGGATGGAGGTTGTAACAAATCTAATTTGCATGAGCACTTGGAATTTAATTATGTTTGAAAAGAGTAGTTTATGTGTTTTGAATACTCACCTGGAGCAGGTAACAGCAGATGCAGGTAGGACATGGAAAAAGTATGGCCCTATTTACATTGAAAATACACCTCTCAGTGTGATTCAACCGGTCCCATTTCAGACTGCAAAGGGGACTCTGCGTGTTCTACTCCGATCCTTTAATGGCATTGATAGAATTTGTATGTCAGAATCCTATGATGGTGGACTGAATTGGGGTTATGCAAAGCCCACTGAACTCCCAAACCCAAACTCAGGTTAATGTTCCAGAATCTGGCTAAAGATCAGTTATGAACACTGCATTTTATTCAGGGATGCATTTGATTTCTTAGTGAAATAAATGTCTTTTGATATTCTGAGACTTAAATTTTGTTAGGCTTACTTCTAATGGTTTAAACTAGTTTTTTATTATCTTTAATGTATATCTACTTTGCATAATTTGCAAAACGTACTATTTAAGAGTATTAAGATGCGAGAGAAAATCATGATTTTGATGCCTCCTTTTGTGAAACTAGACCTTTTTTTGTTTTATTCTTGGGATTGTAATTGGATGAGATTATACTTTTGTGTACTAGGGATTGATGGAGTTAAACTGAGGGATGGCCGTCTGTTGCTTGCCTATAATACAATCTCCAGGGGCGTGCTTAAAGTTGCTTTATCTGAAGACGATGGAGACTCATGGTATGATGTTATTACACTGGAGGAAAATCTAGATATGGAGTTTTCCTATCCAGCAGTTATCCAGGCTAGTGATGGATCTGTTCACATCTCTTACACATATAATAGGACACAGATCAAGGTATATCGTTTGTGATGTAGCACACATTGTAAGGATTTCTAGATAGGATATCAAATCTCTTCTTGACATTTTCTTTTTGCAGCATGTTGTCCTTCAGCCAAATTGATGCAAGACACGCTGTTGAGCAATTCAGATGGTATGTTCTTCTCTATCACCATTCTATGGCCCAATGAGTAAAAAAGTTACGTCTTTATGTTTTGATGGTTTTCACTTTATTTATTTGATGGTATGTTCTTCTCTATCACCATTCGGTGTTTGTATGTGGTTCTGAATTTCTGATGTTATTTACTCAATGTCTATACTGCTTTCTAGTTAAGGACATCAATGGCTAACCCCTTGTAGGTTAGATGATACTGTCTTAACGCAGATGCAGAAATAGCAATTTATCAGTAAGCAAAAACATCTTGCTGGGGCATTTAGTAAGCAGCAGCAATTACTAATCTACAAAACATTAGGAATATTAAAAAGGAAAGAGAGAGAGAGAGAGAGAAAAGAACTTATTTCGGCTTTCTGTTTAATTGTCATCTATCTTGATGTGTTAAGTTCAGAAAAACAAAGATACATCAACGTATTGATGGCAGCATCAAGAAAAATGAACAATATCAAAATTTTCTTAAGAGAATCAAGATCTTATATATATATGATGTGTAAGTTCAGAAAAACAAAGATACATCAACGTATTGATGGCAGCATCAAGAAAAATGACAAATATCAAAATTTTTCTTTAAGAGAATCAAAGATCTTATATATATATATATATATTATAATATATATATATATGAATTATGATATATATTATGATCTTTTATTATATAGTTATAAGCAATGTTGATAATAACTATGTAGAACTAAGAAATTTAAACTACTGTAATTTTAAATAAACTAGAACTCAAACAAATGCTCAAAATATCAAGCTCGACTCTATTAGGCTCAATTATCATTAAAAAATATATTTATCTATGTATGTTAATATAAAGCTCGAAAGAGCTTGAATAAGTTTGAGTTCAAGTTGAAGCTCCAATTAATAAATTATTATTTAGATTATATATAGTAACAGAAAGTATATCTAAAATTATATAAAATTCAAATACTTGATTAGGCTCGTGAGCCAATCGAGTCGAGTATCAAAATACTCAAACTTGGCTTGACTTGTTAATTGAGCTAATTGAGCTTGAGTTCAACTCCGTACACCCCTAAGAAAGTTTTTACTCCTTGCTAGCTGGTGTCTAAAATTATTTTGCTAATGGGAAAAGTCATTACAACAATTTCTTGTGGAGCATCTGGTGTAGAAGTTGAAATGCAGAACCAAAATGAGGATAACATAACTAACAAAATAGCTTTGAAAAACTCTATTTTCTTGGATGATTTAGCATCAAATTTAGCAAGGTGATTTTTCTTGTTATCTAGAATAAAACATTTACACCTAAAGCTGTGAAAATAACCAATATTTGGCTTTCTACCTTTGTATAGCTCATATGGAGTCTTTTTCAGTTTCGATCTTACCAAAACCCTGTTTAGAATATAACATTTAGTGTTTATGGCTTCTGCCCATAAATACTTTGGTAACTTATAATCACTCAGTATGGTTTTGGCCATTTTCTAAAGTGTTCTATTCTTGCATTCCACTACTCCATTCTGCTGGGGTGTTCTAGATTTCGAGCAGTTATGAAGATTCCTAATTCTTTGCAGAAAGCATCGAATTTCTGATTTTCAAATTCTCTTTCATTGTCACTTCTAATCGCAAAGATGTTGTATCCTTTCTAATTCTGTATTCTCTTGCATAGATGAACAAACACGTCCTATGACTCATCCTTATTTCTAAGGAAGAGTGTTTAGGTGAATCTAGAGTAATCATCTATAATAAAAAATTCATAAAATTTACCTCCAAGACTAGAGGAGTGATAGGTCCAAATAAATTAAGGTGTAGCAATTCTAAAAGGTCTGACAAGCTTTTGAGAAAAGTATTAATTTTGATGCATCGACATGTTCTTTATGAAAAGCAGTTCTTCCTTCTGATATAAGTAAGAAAGTCTCTGATGGACTTTGCTTCTATCTCCACGTAAAGTCAGACTTCTTGTTGTATTGGAGTGTTAGAGGAGAGTTGGGTGTGTCCTAAAAATTTGGAGGAGCTTTGGCCATTATTTTACATGTTTTAGAAGGTGAAAGAACGCAAAAAGTTAAAATAATGTTCTGCCAATTTGAAGAGGAATGCTACAATTTTAAGAACCATATATATTTATATATATATATATATATATATATATATATATATATATATTCAAATAAAAACTCTTCTTGTTTAGATTGCAAATATGCAATCATTTATTAACAACCTTTGTTTGACATGATTGAAGAATTACATTAAGTGAATAAACATACATGTAAAGTTCCAGCATAAAAATTCTGAGTGGGTTATTATCTTACTGCTACCATACCTTGGAGATGTTTTCAGGAGAGCTAGTGGGCATTTTCCACTATATGGAAATTATATGGTTAAAGCATCCATTCCTGGAAAATTACTCTTCGTTTTTTATGCTTTCAAATTTAAAGCCGGGAAACCTTTGCATGATAATTTGTTTATAAATACGGTTGATACATTAATTTCCTTTGTTGCTGCATAAAGTGAATTGATTTTCACAGATTATTCGAAGTTTATCAGCAGCTTAAATTAATTTCTGTCCCTTGTTGTCCACTTGCTGAAATAACCCTTGATTCTTCTGATGAATGTCAACAGATGGGAAAAAAATTCACCTTTGTTATGATGTGATTACTTGATGAGTACACACGAGCATCCTGACGCGAAAGTATGCATCGACAGGCTGAAGCCAGGCTTAACAAAGAATTCATACAGTGCTCGCTCGGGCAGCAATATTATGCTTTTCACAGATGGAAAGCTTGTCTGGCAGGTAAACTCTGAACTGATTTGCAGCAAGGACAATACTAGGAGAAACCTGCGTTTGGATTGGTTAGTTTTGGTAAATTAAAGACAAGGGGTGTGAGTTTCTGTTGTAGTGAATTTGATAATTTTATTTTTCTGTTCTGATAAATGAGGAATAGTTTAATCAAATAATTTTGATAGAGTTCATCGTAGATGTTCTTTTAGTTCATTGTAATAAATCCTTTAAACTTATTGGCTATTGAGATTTTTTACAACTTGAAAGCTTTGACTCTGCATTGTTCTTATCATGGTCTTGAGGCATTCAATGAGGCAATAATACATTGACTTTCCTGTCATTTTATCTCATTTATTTGTTTGGTTAAAAAACTATTTCTTTTCCCAACAAATATGTCCTTATCCATGATTATTTTTCTAAAATATAAGTTGTTTTGAATATTTTAAAAAGAAATAAATGATCTTTTCTTTCAATGTTACATTTATTTAAATAAAATTATTATCTTTACAAGTAATTTTTGATTTTGAGATAAAGAGTAATTTAGTTAGATTACTCTTAATTTTGTTATAATCTAGGGAAATTAATTACTTCTTTAATATATATGTAATAACTTTAAAATATTTATATTTTGGGATGGAAGAAGTAATTTGCATATTTAGTACCCATTTTTTTCTATTTTTCAAAATACATAAATAGAAATGAGAATTACATTCTTGGCCTCTTGCAATATAATACACTATACTACAATTCTTTTTATATAAATCTTTTGAATATAGGTATTTTTTTAAAAAAAATGATTATCCAAATACAAATGCCTAATAAATAAATACTTGACCATTAAGCAATCACTTCACAAGAATGTACTATTTTCTAATTAAACTTTGTTTGGCCCAAAATTTTGATTTCTCTGAAAAAAAAAAAAGAAAAAAAAAAACACAGATTTTGAAAATAAGAAGGACATGCTTAATTGAAATAGACAAAAGCAATAGCCCATAATGCATATACTTAAAGACAAGAAGGGTTGCTAGCAACTTGTCTAGTTGAACATTTCAACTATGGCATTAAATAGCAAATTTCAACTAAAATTGGATGATCCAAAAAAAAAAAAAAAAAAAAAAAAAAAAAAAAAAAAAAAAAAAAAAAAGAAAAAAAGAAAAATCAAGAGGAAAAGTTGCTTTCATAATCCATACACACATATTTATTGAGAAATGGCTTTTGGGAAGTTCTTTTCATTTAAAGTTATTTTCTGTTCAACTCCTTAAAATGCAATTTTTCATAACTTGCCTTTTTTCTATCAAAGGCTGACATGACTCCAAACAAAGAAATTTGATTGAGAAATTATACACTGTCCATTACTCTTTGAGATCCTTAACTTCATATAGACATCTATTCTTATGACAACTTTGATTTTATGAATTTTATATATTTTTAAATTATGTTAATCAATTTTACCAATAAAAATTACAAATAACTTGGTACTAGTTATCCTCATCATTGAGATTGAAATTTGAAACATAGGTCCTATATTGTTTGAGTATAGATTGTTAATATTTAGAAATAGGAGCAATTGTTAAATTTGATTCTTTTTTTTTTTTTTTTTGTTTAAAATTTTGATTCTTTTTTTTTTTTTTTAGTTTTTCAATCATTTAGATTTTGATAATACTTTTTTTTTTTTTTTTTAGTTTTCAATCATTAGATTTGATAATACAATAAGAAATTAAGAACAACCATTCACTATTTCTAATTTTAATTTTGGTGAGCTTAGAATTGATTTTTTTTTTTAAAAAAAAAAAAATCATATTTCAATTTTTTTTTCCAAAAAATTCTAAAAAAAAAGAAGTTTTAGGCCTATAAATATTGTAATTAAAAAGTTATTATTTTATTAATCTAAAAAAATATTTGTGGTATAGAATTTAATATTAGCAATATCAATTCCAAATTTGTACATATGCATTAATATTATTGGTAATCTAGTTTGCCTTAAAACAAAAATGGTGCACCTACCAATTAAATTTGTACATGTACCTCTTTACCTCTATGTATCTATAAATACATGGACCACCATAAGAAGACCAAATCAAATGTAATAAGAAAGCAAAAATATGCAAGTTGTTGCCCCAACCTATTAATATGTACAACACACATGAAATCATTTCTCTTTTGACATTACAAATTTACAATTCAATGCTTAAATGAATCAAGATAACCTGTTGTTCCGGTTCCCATATAAATTTATAATTGGATTGGAATTGTTTCAGGAACTCGCATAATTATTAAACTTTTGGCAATTAATTTAGAGTAATTTTATTGAGATCAGAAGTGAATTTTATAAAAAAATCCTAATTATGCAAATTGTGCCAATTTAATATAATTTTCCAAATGAAAATTTAAATTCCCGATTATACCCTCTAAAAAGAAATTTATAATAAAAAAAGGGTCAAATTTTTCTTTCTTTTCCATACCAAAAAAATCAAAGTAAAAGCATAAAAATGCAAAGCCTTAACTAAAATTCGGCGCCAATTGCGGGAGTGGCAAGTTTTTGGACAAACAAACAGTCCCTAACTTTTTGCATTAAATGGAGGGTTTGGCTTTCTCTTCCTTTCCCTTCTCGCCTTCTCAATTTCCTTTCATATTTAATGTGAAAAAGAAGAAAAGAAAGTTAAATTCCTTCCTATTGAAAGAAAGAGTATAAAATTACACAAACAAGGCAAATAAAAAAGTCAATACCTATCGTTACTGTGTTTTCAAAATTCCTCAGTTTCAGTGTACTATTTCTATTCCTCTCTTTTCCGATTTATTTATTGCAGGAAATTGATTTCTGCATCTAATTTTCTTTTTTGTTTTTCTATTTCGGGTCCACAAATTTTTTTAAAAAATAAATATTATTGTTACCAACCGGCCTTAATTTACTTATGTTAAAATTAAAATTATTAAGAAAAAAAATTATCATACGAATGTATTAATTAGAAATTATTAATATTTGATTTTCAGGTGAATAATATTTTTTTATTTTTTGAAACTTTTCATTAATAATAGTTTCAAAATAATATTCTTAATTGAAAATGTTATTTTTTTCTCTACTCTTTATATCAGTTTGTATTTTAGATATGATATTATTTTATTTTTCATATTTATATTTTAGAAATGTAGTAGTATTTCTTTAAAATACACTCACGTTGTAACTTTACATCATAAATAATAAATTAGTAAAATGATCATAAGAGTAATAACCATAAATTCAAACTGATTTTTAAAATAATAACTGAAATAATGTTTTTTTTAAATGATAATCTTTCAATCTCAATATTAAAATTTTCCACCATAGTGCATGTGAATTTACATCAGTGGCCTTTTTGACACAGATGTTTGCTGGGATGGGAAGCTTTTCTATCACACAGTGAACGAACTAACTAACTAACTAACTAACTATATAATAATTTTTTTTTTTTTCTCATTTTGAATTTTTTGGTATTGCATAAGGTCTGAGAACACTGAAAATTTGGTCACATTGGCTTCTCACTTGTCTAATTTCAACTGTAAGATTTGGGTCAGCCTTTTGCAGTTGTAGGCATTAGAAATGGAGCTAGATTCTTTTAAAAGTCTTCTCTTCGTTCATTTATATATTTTATTTTATTTTTATAAATGTGTGCCTAAGGAATTAAATGTCATATAATGTTTGTCTTTTTCCCTTTATACTTGAAGAGAATCTGCTGTTTTTATTTTATCAAACATTATTAATAATAAGGCATTGTCATTTTCATGACATAAGTTGCTTTAGTCATGTGTTTGGTTTTAGAAAAATAATTCTATCACTTCCAAATATATGTATATATATATTATTATTATTATTATTATTGATTGGTTCAACTGTCTAGTGATCTTTATCAGATATTTTTTTATCTGGTTCGAGTCCTATAAATAATATTTGAAGGGAATTTTTCCATTTCAATGTTTTGATTCCACTTTTGTTGAATCTTGATATATTGAACTGTGTTTGAAAAAAATTGATATACTAATAATACATATGATATATCTTTGAGAAAAAAAAAAAAAAAAAAAAAAAATTGATATACTAATAATACATATGATATATCTTTGAGAAAAAAAAAAAAAAAAAAGAGCTTGAAAAAAAAAAAAAAAAAAAAAAAGAGCTTGAAAATGGTAATTGAGATGAGAGGAAAGATTGGATTATCAGTTGAGGAGCAGAGAGAGGAGAGGAGAGGAGAAGAGAAGAGGGAACAGATTTACTTTTTACATTATTCTCTTTGACATAAACCAACACAAGCAAACTCTGAAACTTTCTGAGCCTTCTTTATTCAGATCCTTCATAACAAAGACAAGCTTTGTCTCCCTTTTATTCACCTTTTCATAAGCCATCACCCTTCCTTCCCATCTTACATATTCAAGATTTTTTATTTTTTTAATTAAAAGTTCCTCAAATGTTTTAAAAATAAAATATCTTTCACATAAATAATGAAGCAATTGCTTTTGATTGAAGCATGTGTACTTGCCAACTAATCCGGAAACAGAGCAAAGGTAGCAAAGCGCTCACTCCCGAATGAGGTCATGCATAATTCTCTTGGGGTTTGATTTTTGAGATTCCAATCTAATTAAATAAATTTATAATCCTCTTGATTTTAATTTAGATAAATTTTTACTGGAAATAAATGAATTTTAAAAAAAAAATATCTGAAAGCTGTATTAATGTTATAACTTACATTATATGAGTATTTATATTCTTAGATTTTAAAATTCAAGTTTACAGTTATCTTAATATTTGTTCTCTCTGTTCTTTTTTAATTACAACTTTTTTTATCCATTTTTATATTTTTATATGAATATAAAATAATACAATATCAATTTTTTCAAAAAAAAAAAATTGTGATTCGTTAGGAAGCTCAATAGGTCGAGATAACACTGAGAGCTACACAACAAGATATCTTTTCTCTTATTTCACCAAATTGGTGAAAACACTTATAGTCAAAAGGACTCAAATTCGATACCTCTCACTCTCACATACACGATAAGACCAATTAGATTACATTTGATATTATAAGAATAATTTTTGAATAAAAGTTGTAATGAATAGGAGTAGATATGTAAAAATTATCTTCTTAATAAAAATCTATATTATTATATTATTGGGTTAATAACTAATTGATTAAATATTTATTTAGTATCATATGTACAAATTTTAAATCCTTAATTTTTTTTTTTTTTATTTTTACTATCTTTTTGGAATAATATTTTTAAATTTATTAGAGAGACAG